ATATTCTGAAAGTATGTCATCAAAATGCGCAGGAATAACCAAGTACGCCAATTAATATGATGCGAACAATTTTGAAGCTTCACTACGAAAATGTTTTTAAATATCTCGGAGTGTCAATAAAGGTGTTATGTAAGCTAGCTATAATCAATATTACCCGATGGAATTGGAACTCCTATATATTTTAGAACAATTACATAATTCATATACTCTATCTTTACAATTGAAAACTATCACAAAATGTGACCGCACTAAATGTGATGGCAGTTTCAGAATTTTTGTTTTAAAAACGTTTTGACTGAAAATAAGGGGAGCTGTAGTTGCTAGGTCCTAAGTCATTTGTTTTCTAGTGGAAAGTTGTCTCATTGGCAAACATACCACATCTCGTTACTTTTATAAACACATAGTCTTACAACCTCCGTTTTTGCATTTGAGAGTGAATTGTATCCTTGTTCCTCGTTCCAGTTTCGCTTATTATCCTCAACACATTCTTGGTGGTGAAGGTTAGTGTAAAGAAACCACGCATATTAAAAAGAATAAGGAGAATTTGAGCAATCTATCATATGTGTGTCAAGGGATATTAAAACGCGTAATCTACGGGACTTTGGTTTTACTACAAAACACGGGACTTTTGATTGCCATTATTTCTTTGGATGATTACTTCTGGGTTATTTTCTATCTTATCACAACTTCTTAGAATTATCAAGATTTCCCACATTTGTCTATTGTTTAGCATGTGTATATTTTCGATGCTGTGGCATCGCATACTAAGTGAATATTTTTGAGTGCAGCGGCACCGAAAACCAAACGAATGGTATTTTAAAAATGTCCTGGCCAGAGGTGAATTCGAAACTCATTTGGAAAAAAAAACAGCCAAATTTGTTAATAATGACTGTATAATAAATAAACTACAGAACACAGGATAAACTTAATTCCAAAGATTCCTAGCTTAATTCGTTTGACTTCTATAATTAATGAAAATGTGTTATTAAACATATTTACTTTTTTATAACATAATGGAAATGTATTGGCATTTTTGAATTTAATATCCTGGGATTTTTATTTCAATCCTAGATAAACAACCTAGCATGCAGGAAAGGTTTTGATTTTTTCCAATAATGAAACACAGTATGTTGCAACATTGATCTGATATTATAGCTATTCCTATGTTACGTAAAACTGCATTTAATTTTGCATCTAAAATAATCATAAATTGGCAGATTTAAGTACCATACTAAACATCAAACTAAAACCTAATTAACGTAAATTTTATGTTTTAAAATGCGAACAATAAAACCTGAAACAATTGTTTGACTAAACATATATTTGATATGAAAACGCGTTTGCATGTAATCAACCCCAGTTTTTGGTGGGAATCGTGTTGATCAGTCTTCAGTTTTCTATGTTTTTTTTTTGTGTACTGTTGTTCGTCTGTTCGTCTGTTTGTCTTTTTTCTTTTTTAGCCATGGCGTTGTCAGTTTATTTTCGACTTATGAGTTTGAATGTCCCTTTGGTATCTTTCGCCTCTCTAATACAAATTTAAGTGTGGGAATATATATGTAAAAGATAGATATATCAAGTTTGAATTCGTAATGAGTAGTAAATTATATCTTAGGATATAGAAAGTGTAGGAGTCTACTTAAAGATTTATACAGACAAAAACAACCGAAAGTCTTTAGCCAATATATAGATGTCTTGAAAAAGATATTAATGTCACGGCTTAGCTTTTAAGTATGTAATTACTTTTCTGTCTCGATATTTAGACAACATAGTTGATACCTTTTGGGATATATGATGTTATATTGTTAATTTCGTATGACAGACACAAAAGTTAAGTATTCATATTGAAATTATTGCATATGGTAATTTCTTTCTTGACATTTGTCAAGAACATAAAAACTTCCTCGATGGTCTCTTGGTAGAGTGCTTAAATCTAGTACATTATCCGCTTAGTAAGTGGATTCAGAAGAGTAAGAGAATACTGGTTAGCTCGAAGTCAGAATAATGTATGGGAAGATATTGTGATATGTCTTCCTTCGGAGTATTACAAAGGCACCTTGTGTACTAGCTTCCTACACAAATCCGGTTCAGCTCGGTGTTTGTTTCCAAAGCAGTGATCATATTCATATATCAATAGAGTGCTCCCGTCCTGATATGCATGTAATATTTGCACTGAATGTTCGATACCAATCCCTCATCATCATCATTCCTTACATACACCTTATTATGTTTGTTTTGTTCACACACTGTTGTCAATATAATGGAATTTTATGCGACTGTCATACAAGTGAGAGGTTAAGCTAGCTATAAAACCGGTTTTAATCCACCATTTTCTACATGAGGAAATGCCTATACCAAGTCCGGAATATGACAGTTGTTTTCCATTCGTTTGGTGTGTTTAAGCTTTTGATTTTACCATTTGATAAGGAACTTTTCGATTTGAATTTTCCTTGGAGTTTGGTATTTGTGTTATTTTACTTTTTTCTTAACGATTCTCGATTCGCTCATTTTCAACTCTTCCTTAATATTCTCTAACCCTTCTGAAATTTCTATGCAATGCATTGAGAAATGTAACCCTATAATCCAAATTTTTCTCAATTCTTTTTTAACTAATATCTGAAATAAACTACTGGTAAAATGCAGTGAGAAAATGTTCCTGCTACCTCTGTTTCTTCTTTTTAATTCAAAATAATGCTATCTATGTTAACATAAAGGTATGAGGAATTTTGTTTCAAACACCAGTGCCTTTGCATAAGACACATCGGATCCATAGACATCTATTTTCCGCCATTATTTGTAATTTTTCTTGATATATTTACTCAAAAACAAGTGCTCAGACCTATCTTTATTTTTATATATGATTTAAATTTTTTGTACATTTATATCTATCAATAACCCATGTCGTTTTTGAAAATTCCGTTATTTTAAATTTAAAAGAAGAAAACATGATGCTTTTAGTTCAAAAATAAGCAGGTACATAGCACTAAAGGAAATCGAATGTGCTTCTTATGTAACTTGTATCTCAAAATCAAAAACGCTGGAAATGGTAAATATAACGATTTTTAATTTTTCTCTATTTGGAACGACTTATCATGCTGATAACTAGTTTGATTATTTTAAATGTAGTCGTAACCAAGCTTAAGAACAAACATGATTCTCTTCTGTTGTTATTCTATATCGATACCCGCATATGTTTTTTTCAATGAATAAATGAAGCGAGATCAAGTTTTGATTTTTCATCAGGAAAACAATGAATAATAAGACGGACATTCTAAACGAAAATTACACTCGATGTTATCGTATGTAATATGTAATAATTGCCTTTATATACTAACGTATACCTCTTGGTTAGGAGCGAGACAAAATTTACAAAAACATGTTTGCAACAAAATATTAGAATCGTCTTCAAAAGGTGTATATGTAAAGCGCAGAAAAAAATATGGACGAATGTCAAAGTGTTGAAAAAAACATGCAATTTATACATTTTAAATATACGCACTCATGAGTATCCATCAGGCTTGTGATTTCGACCCACCATTTGAAGCTAATACATCGAACATTGGCAATACGTTATAATTTGAGAAATTTTTCTTTATAAAAGGTTATCTTCGAGTCCTTTTATGATAGAAATGTTCATTAACATATGTATGTGCCTGTCCCAAGTCAAGATGCCTGTAATTCAGTGATTGTCGCTGGTTTCTAACTGTCTTAATATATGTTCGTTGATTGTTTGTCATCAATCTAGACATTTTTTCATGTTTGAATTGTTTCGCATTTTATTATGTTGGGGCCTTATGGTATGGGTTTTTGAAAACCGTACAGTTAACTTTAGTTGCTTACATTCACTTCATTTGACTCTGGTTTATAGTTGTCTCAGCAACCGTATCACACCTCCTTATTTTCATATGTAATACATATGTGAGGACATGTTGATCGAACGATAAGAAATTACTATTGAATTCACCTTTTATAGAATGTGGCAGTATTGTCACGCCCGATCAGCAATTTCATAAAGCTTTGTAGTTTTGATCAGTTGTTGTAGTTAAGACTTTTAAATAATCCGATAGTTCTGTTAGAGAGGGTCTGGATGGGCGGTCTTCATATCTGTATGTTAGCCGTACATCTTTATTCGTTATAAATTTTTGCCATTATTGGGGTCATTATTCTCCATTTTTGATATTTTAACAACCCATCATTCTCTATTCTTTATATATTTGTCCTTTATTCTGCACCTTTTGTCCGTTATTTTCCATTCTTTAAACCCCATCCAGACCCACATAAAATAATTTAATGGTGAAACATGTTTAATTTCCTATTGCCTGGTAGGATAGTCTGGTATGAAACATAGAGTCGAATAATCTCTAAACGAAACACAGTGTGTTGTGTCATTGATTTGATATTAGGTATGAAACATAGAGTCGAATAATCTCTAAACGAAACACTGTGTGTTATGTCATTGATTTGATATTAAAGCCTCGTTATGAATGTATCAAATAAAAGCTGCACGATTCGTATAAAAAAACCGTGATTCACGAATCTAATGTACTGACAATATTTGTTAGATTTGTTACTTGATTATGTTTGCTTAACATCCAGCGACAAATATTTCATTGAATTTAAGACGTGAGCAGACTTCTGAGCTGATGATACCCTCGGGGACTAATAGTTCACCAGCAACGGTATCGACCCAGTCTTAAGTTTCTGTTACTGAATTCAAATGTTATATTTTGATGTCAGCGCAGTAATTGTATGCAAAATGTTACAAAGTGAATCATTTAGGATAGTTTCCTAAGAATGTCTGGCAAAAAACCCAGAATGTATGGTTAGAACCAATGAAATTGCAAAATTAGTTAAATTCTTCTCAGAATTATGATGATAATGAATGAAATAATACATTTCGGTCACTGAAGTACTGAAATGTCATTTCTGATGTAATAAACGTGTTACATGTTACATGTAAAACTGACATATAATATCCAAAATGACCATTTAATACATAGTTGTTGGTAAAACGAGGAACATGCCTGGACTTACATCAATGGTTTGTCATATGATGTAAGGTATAGTGTCCAAACACGATTATATGTCTAAATACTAATAACTAGGAAATAAAATACGGCAATTTGGCGGAACATTTTGCACATTTCTTTAAGGTAAGCAATTTGAAGGCCTTAAAGAAAAATATGTAAAACAAATTCAATTTTAATACTTACTTTATATTTTTTTTTAATCCTAAGGGACAAGAAATACATCCTTCTTTGACGCGATCCTAAACTTGCAGAAATACTACATCGTCTCCGTTTCTCTGTTCTTTTTTAGGGTTACCTAACAAAATGACAAATAAACAATTCCTATAAAGTGCAATTCTACTTAATGTTTGCATATTGTTTCAATACATTTGATCAATAAAACACATCTGAAATGCTTCAGGCAGACATCAACATGCTTTTAAATGCATATATTGCTGTTACATAAAGCGGACTCTTTTATTTGTATTATTTTATCTAGACAATTATTCGTACAAATGCATACGATTAAGAGTCATTATACTTCTTTCGTAAAGGTATAATCTTTCATGATATTATACAGTACATTAAATTCAATCTAGTAAGCCATGCAACTTTTGAGGTATCGATCAAGTAAACATTTCATACAATAGATGGAGAATTGAGAACTTAATATTGTGTGATTTATATTATATATATATCAAGATATATGTTATTAATTTCGATTACTATGTATATTAAAAAATCCTTCATAATTTGCCTTATCATGCGAGTAGTAAATGCATACAATATGCACGTGAATGAGAACATAAAGATAAATTGTCATAGGATGTCAAATTTTTCGTGACCTTGTCCTATATTCATAATTATAAAATGAATAAGCACAGGCATTGCATTTGTGACTGCGATATATTGTAAGTAATGTGCATGTTTTCTATATAAATATATGATGCAAAATGATGATAAAACATGAAATCTCAATGAATAAAGTAGAGGGGTAAATAAATTATGCATTTAACATGCAATTTGTCATGTGGTAAATAATTAATACATTTAACATTGTCACACTGAGTGTCATTACATTTACAGTAACATGATAACAGTGATATTTGACACCCTGATATATCTTTAAAACTATAATTATATACATGTACTTAGTATATATACGACCATTTGAATTTACTTTTTTTTTTTGGGGGGGGGGGGGGAGGGGGGGGGGGGGGGGGGTGATGCAAGTTGAAATTGAATATCCTGGCCTGAGCTGAAAAATAACCTTGCATAACACAGGATGGAAATGAATATTCTGAAACAAAAAAAAAATGTGCAGAAATAATTGTAAGTTATATATTTGTAATACTTAAGTAAAAATATTTGTTTTGTGCGGGAAAAAGTAAGCATGCACAGCAACAGATGAAAATGAATAGTGAATTTGCAAAAAAAACCATATAATCCTGCCCCCCTTTTTTCCCTAAAATAAAGAATGTCGTCCCTTAATGACTAGCAATACAATAATTGTTCATATATATGTGATATAATTCAGTGATGAGGAACACTGCATCAAACTGAGTGGACTACTTTCAAAAGGATATAACAACTCGGACATACGTCTTTGTTTTATATCCTGTACAAAATGTAAACGTTAATTAAATGTAACCTGCACAATAATGTTTTCAAATAAAATAAGTACAAGTATGTCTCCATGACAGATTTACTAGACAGTCGAGTGGTAAAACATCGAATAAGAATTCATTTGAAATGATCAATGGGTTAATTTTGGTGTTTTGTGTCACTCTGTTGCTTTCCTGCAATCTGATAAAATATAAACCTCACGTGACTTCTTAAAGTCCAATGATTTGCTTTTATTAATATTAATATGTTGTCTGCCCTATGGTCGGGTTGTTGGCTCTTTGACACATTCCCCATTTCCATTCTCAATTTTATTTATAGTCAAACGAGAAAATAATTGTTTGTGACAAAGAAAAAAGTAATACATAGAAATTATATTGAAAATAACAATTATGAGAACCTTTACCTCACTTCTATATATAAGGACTGTTTAAAAAAAAAGAGCCAATATCTGTTACATGTTCTATAATAGTAGGGTTGGGTATTTTCTTTGATTTTTTGTTCTATAGTGGAAGACACAAAATTGTCAGTAGGTACAATGTAAATAATTATCAAATAGATTTCTCTAAGATCTTCGTTTATTTTACATTCAACACACCGTGTATCCCGATCCGAAATCCGCGGAGGGACCCGATCCGAAATCCGTGGAGGGACCCGAATCCCGAGGGGCAATTACAATTTATTTAGTCCAATTCGTAAGTACAATTTGAATCCGATTTCCACGGAGCTTTACGAATTGCACTAACAGAAGTGTAATTGCTCCGAATTCGGATCCTTTCGCGACCTTTCCAGATTATGGTCACCGAAACTCAGTTTAGTGAACTATTTTCTTATAGAAAAGTCATGAGAAGCAAAATATCATTTTGTATCCAAACTGAGTTTTAATTTTTTTATAAAGTGACAGTTGATTATTTTCACTTTATTATAATGCATTTAATTAGGTGTCTCTATGTTTATAAAAATAAGGAAATATGTTAAGAGTGCCAATGAGATAACTAACTATCCACCAAAATTCAAATGAAGTGGATGTAAGCAATTATAGGCAACAATAAGGCCTTCAACAATGAGAAAAAACCGATATCGTATAGTTGGCTATAAAAAGCGACGACATTTGTGCAGTACACAGATAAACATAATTTATACACGAAGGTTTATAATGAATAATGTACTTATATAAAAAGAAGGAGTTTTGGTATTATTGTCAATGGGACAACTATATATATATACTCAAGACAACCTTCAACAATGAGCAAAACACAAAACGTATAGTAAGCTATAAAAGGACATTCTGTATATGTGCATGTCCAAAGTCAGGAATCTGTAATTCAATGGTTGTCGTTTGTTGCTGTATATATATCATATTTGTTTTTCGTTCATTGTTTAGTACACAAATCATGCCGTTAGTTTTCTCGTTTGAATTGTTTTACATTTGTCGTTTCGGGGTCTTTTATAACTGACTAGTATGCGGTATGTGTTTTGCTCATTGTGGCAGGCCGTCAGCGACCTATAGTTGTAAACTTCTATGTCATTTGGTCTCTGGTGGAGAGTTCAACTTGTCTCATTGGCAACCATTTCACATCTTCTTATTTTTATATGTTTGTGCATTTGAATCAGATTGATTTTTCTTCTGTCATATAATCCTATGTCTAATGTATAATTTTTCATTGGCGTCAAATATAATTGAACGCTATGTTTTATTAGTTAATGGACTCGAGATGTAGGGTTTTAATTATATAAAATGTACAATCAAAATACGGGAATGATTAATTCGGTATCTGTTTCATGTTTAGAAGAGAAATACAAAGACAATATGTTATATGCATTTAAAAAATTCATTTATAATTTACTTGTCAAATAAATTAAGTTTTTTTTTAAATTTATAATGACTTCTTGTCACAATTACACCGTATGGCTCTTTCTGCTTTTCATGTTTCTCTTACTTTTTAAATTGATTTTGTAATCAGCTGTGCTATTACGCAAAGAAATGTCGGTTTCGTGTAATTAATTCAGCAATGAACATGGAACTATAATTACAACAAAACTAGAGATTTATTTCAGTTCCATGATCCTACACAGAGGATCATGGCGGATCAATGGAAGATGTTTCCGTTTACGTGAAAAATATAGCAGATTTGATGAGATTGTCTCTATATTTTGACAGTGATTAGTTTTAATTAGAACCAGTTCGATGAATACTATTGACTTTTCAGTATAATGTTGTTATATTGGATAATGGTTTACTTCGGACATGACTATAGCTAAACCAAACTGAAAATGATAATGTTAATTTCAATGTATTATAGCTCAGATGAATGTTTAATCTAATCATGATAGTAAGGCACAAAATAAGAGTCGTTGTCAAAACAAGGAATTGTGCATTTTTCTTTTGTTCTTTATATTCATTTTTATTATATTTTACAATTATATATTTCAAACACAATTCTTCGTATGCTAGAAAAGTGACCATGCAGAGTCTGTCGATATGTATTCCTCACTAGAGCTTAAGTAACTTATTATTTACTGTACGTGCTCATGTATACATTTAGAAAGGATACGAGACCCCACAAAGAATAAAATTCTATAAAAGTCAAACCATACAAGAAGAACAAAAAACAAAATTTGAGGTTCATTAACCACCTCTCATTCAGTCTCTGGTAACATGGGTAATGCATACTTTAGAATTCATATACAATGCAACTAAATAAGAACAAAAAATCAGTTACAGTTTTGGTGCTGCTTTTTCTGTTGACTGATCAAAACAAGCCAAAAAACAAGACGTTTAAACTACCATTGAATTTTCGTATATAATACAGATCCGTGTACTAAATGGTTGTACTTTTTATCACTAATTACGAGGGATGAGTGAGTTTCTTTTGCCCGTTGTTGACCTCTTTTAACATTGGTCAATAGAATGACAAACAATCAATCAATCAACAAATTTATCGGAATGAACATTCGCTTTATTTAAAGGCAATCGTGAAATCTAATTACACTATCTACAAACAACTTTCAATCGTATTCTTAAACGCTTCGTAATAGGGATTCAAATACAGTTTATACTGTATACAAATGTCAAATGTAAGGACTTCTTTTATCGCTATTCAATAGGTTGATATGCTCTTAGTATAGCAAGTTCTTGTACTGTAAACCAACTTATTTTCGCGACTTAAGAAAAATAACGTGAATATAAATTGTCGCGAATATGATTTGTCGCGAATATGTAAAACTTGGATTTTCCTTATCTAACTACATCAAGTAAATTTGAGAATCGCGAAATTAAATCGCCTGGAAATCGGCTAGAAAGGGCTAATCGCAAAATAAAGTATCCGCGAGAATGAGTCGGTTTACAGTATTAATATTTGTGAAGTGATGTCTTTCAAAACAACTCCCAGTCTTTGCCAGAAAATTGAAACAGATACTATAAAACGTAATATACAAATATTGTGAGCGTCATGGATCGGTTTTAACAGTTAATGGACAAGCTGAATAAAAAAGAATATAGGGGAAGGGTATGCGAATATACATAATGAATAGCAACTGTTGGTGATTGGTTATCACTAGTCACAAAATCAGACTGGATACATAGCTAGTTACTGACCAATAGAACATAATGTTTTAAATTAGATACCACTTTCAATTTCTCGCTGCATTGAAGACCTGTTGGTGGCCTTCTGCTGTTGTCTGTTCTGTGGTCGGGTTGTTGTCTCTTTGACACATTCCCCATTTCCATTCTCAATTTTATTTCAGTCATCTTATTAAAGACAAACTTAATCTTGACAAGGATACTTAAGCTAGGGTAACACCAAGATGAAATTATAAATGCATATAGATTAAAAAGTTAAATTAAATTTGCCCAAAATCTATCGATCTATAATTTCAAAAAGAATAATCTTAGTTTTATCTTTTGTAGATGTAAAGAAGTTGATATCAGTTTACTAGCTTTTCCAGCAATACTCATATTCTTATGATGGATGAGGAGGATCCGAAAATGGAGAGTGAGCCAAACAGCGAAAACGTATCACATTCTGAGATGCGTGCGATTCTTTGGGGTCGACAGTTGTCTCGTTCTCAGAGTGACCCCCAGCGAGTTAGTGAATTCACCGAACATGAAACAGGTTTTGGTAAAATGAAAAGACCTACAAGTCTTAGCGACGAATGGAAAGAACTGCAGAAGATAAAAATGACTAAAAATCCTATTACTGAAACACTACTACCGCATACACAGAATTTACAAAGTAGACGATCAATTTGGAAAAATTTCTTGTCGTTATGTGGTGGACTTATGTTAGCTTTTATGTCGTTCTTGCCTCTTAGAAATATTCAAAGTAGTATTTACCCTATAGATAATCTTGGAACGATCTGTTTATCTTCGATGTATGCTGCTTTTATCGTTGGATGTACGATCTCACCATGGTTAGTTCAAAATGCCAGACCTAAAGGTTTGATATTATTGGCTGTAGCAAGTCACGTGTTCTATGTGGCAGCTAACTTGTATCCATCGTATTTGACACTTATTCCTGCCTCAGTTATTTTTGGCTTTTTACAAGCACCGTTGTGGTCCGTTCAAGAGCTACTTATAGGTAGCTATGGTTCTAGTTACTCAGCCATAACTGGAATCAGGGTAGATAGATCCATTAGACAATTTCAGAGCGTCTTTGTCATATTTTGTCATTGTGCTCAGATTCTAGGAAACTTAATCGAATCGCTAGTTTTAAATTATGGTACAGTTGAAAATAAGCATATTTTGAATAAAACGTATTACTCTCTAAACCATGATAACTGTTCAGAAAATTGCGTAGGCAAGTTTGGATATCATATGAAACGGCCAAATGAAATAGAAGAACAAATAGACTACCTGGAAATTCTAAAATTTATTTATCTTGCTTTCTCGTGCTTTGCCATGATTTTGATTGGCTTTTGTTTACGAAAACCTGACATAATATTGAATAAAAGAAAGATGAGTTTGCTTGAAAAGCTTGGAGATGTTTTGAGCTTCTTTAGAACTAAAAGTTGCGCTATGATAGGACTGCTGATGGTGTTTACTGGCATGCAGCAAGCTGTAGTTATCAGCGATGTCACTATGGTAGGTAATTTTGAAAACATACGATCTGTAGGAAGTAATAACAAGCAATGCTCCTATAGTAGGTATCTGGAATACATGCAGCAAGCTCTAGCAATCGGGAATGTGACTTTGGGTAGCTAATTAAACGCCATGGGATTGACAATAGCTAGATTATGGCAAGTTAAAAAAAGTTGTAGAAACAACTATATGTATGTCACTATGGGAACGAAGTGGTGAATATACAATAAGATGTGGTACTAGTATTCTAACTAGAAGTGTTCGTGCATCATGCAGACGTTATCACTATCAGTGACGTGACAAATGGATGGTTGGATTCATACAACAAATTATAGTAATCATAAAAAAAACTTTATTTCTATTCACATTACTTACAAAACAATGTTATTTTCACGAGAAACAGACATATTTGCTATGTATGCATGTCGACTAAAACGTATTTTGTCCAAATAAAAACAAGAATGTGTCCATAGTACACGGATGCCCCACTCGCACTATCATTTTCTATTCTTCAGTGGACCGTGAAATTGGGGGTCAATACTCTAATTTGGCATTAAAATTAGAAAGATCATATCATAGGGAACATGTGTACTAAGTCTCAAGTCGATTGGACTTCAACTTCATCAAAAACTACCTTGACCAAAAACTTTAACCTGAAGCGGGACAGACTGACGAACGGGCTGACGGAAGGACGGACGAACGAACGGACGCATAGACCAAAAAACATAATGCCCCTCTACTATCGTAGGTGGGGCATAAAAAAAAAACAAAAGCACGTAGCCGCCAAAGCGTCAGGTTTATTGAAAACCAGAAAAATCAAAATTGTATAAATATCTTTTATTACATATACTAGAAGGTTGTATTATTAACGATAAATGTATTGCAGGTATATGGTACAGAGAAGCTAGGTCTGTCTACAGTAGGCTATATGATGATGTGTTATGGGACCTGTCAACTAGCTACTCTTTTATTGCTTGAGAGAATGCAAAGAAGGTTCCGCCCTATTGTCTTCATACTGAAAGGTTTGCAAATTCTTACTGTTTACACGCCCTCTGTGGTTACTTGGATGTGCACTCGTCTCGATTGCGGGAGTAAGAATGTTTAATTACTGGCTTAGTCAAAACGAAGAGTTTTTGTCTTTAATTTATAATTGCTGCTTCTGTGCCGAACATACAACATTTAAGTGTAAAGTGATGCGTCTTCCTGCATGCAGACTGGTTCTATGTGAGCTACATTTAGTATGTTAAAAATCCGACTCATTATATCGGGCTATCATGTGAGCTACATCTAATATGTTAAAAATTCCATTCAGTATATCGGTATGGTACAAAGCAGTGTATATATCTCATTTTAACATATCTGAATATGTATGTAATATTTGCCGCCTGACGTTAACCAGTCGGTCGCTTATCAATCAATTTTATTGTTCAAAATGTGAGACTCAGTTAAGATGCAAGATAGCTTCAACGGAAACGTCAATACTTTTTAATTCATAATAGAAAAAATGCATACTAATATTTTAGATGTATAAACAACAATACCAATTTCATACAACAGCAGTTGTGTATTATGCGTTCTGTAGTTAAAATAAAAAAGAATAGTTTTTCGTATGAATTGTTTCACATTTTGTCATGTCAGTGCCTTTTAAAGATGACTATACGGTAAAGGATTTGCTCTTTGTTGAAGGCCGTACGGTGACCTATAGTTGCTGAAATCATACCACATCTGCTTACTTTAGAATTGAATCAGGTTTTTTTTAGAAAAAGAAACTTTCTCTTACTTTGATTTGAAGGAAAAACGAAAACTTACATTACAAGAGTTATTATCAATTGTCCTCATATGAAAAAAACAGCTGCGTGCCATACATTCAAAGGTCATTGGCACTGATATTGTCTGACTTAACACCTGCATTATATAAATTTTCTAGAAGAACCTTTGTACTGTTTGAACATTGATTGATTGATTGTTGGTTGCTTAACATCCAGTGGCAAATATTTCATTGTTTGAACATGTTTCTTTTATGTTCATATGCTTTTGTGTTATTTGTTTTGTTGATATCCCATCAACCCGTCACGGTTTAAATGTACAATTATTAATAAAGTATTAAATGTATATACTAGAATGATTATAATAGATACATGTAGTATTTCACGAAATATGATAGCAATACAAATACTTCCTTAATTTACATAGACACTAAAAATGCTGTATGTATATACATTATGTTTGTTTTCCTTAAGGTGGTACCCAACACCTTGACTAGTATTAATTTGGCTCGTTTAATTTTCATAAAATTTTGACAAAATGTTAACTTTGACCCTTTGACAAAAATATAAAAATTTCAAAAAATTTGAACCAACCACTTTATCAGAAAAATTTCATTGGTAATATAGCAGTTTGACAAACACTAATTTTGATCATTAAGAAGCTTAATATTTCCTTAACAATACAACGTAATTAAAACGTTTAGCTGATTTTTACAGAGTTATCTCCCTGTAGTGTTAGGTACCACCTTAAATTCCATTTTTATAAACAAATAGAATTATATTTCTGGTTAACATACATAAAATCAGCAAATAATTAAATAGTATACATTATATTTTGATTGAATTATTTGGTTTAAAAGAGCAGATAGACAGGAGTAAGGCAACATGGGAATAAGGCGACAGAGAGCGGAAGTCAAGGGAAGGGAAGCCGGAGTAAGGGGAGTAAAATTAGGGATAATCTGAGAAAAATGTTTTGACCGATTTTTGTGTGGGAGTAAGGGAGGAGCGAAGTATGATTAGAAGGAATGGAATTGGGAGTAGGGGGATGGAAGTGGGAGTTGGGGTAGAAAAGTGGGAATCAGATACCTCCTGTCCGTCCTTCTTAAAAAATGGCGGAAGATACCAAAAGTCAATCAAAAACCATGAGTCGAAAAACGATAGACAACACCATGACGTAACGAAAAAGATGGACAAAAAGCATTCCAGAATACCACTACACCAGAAAACTAAAGATTAAGAAACGAGAATCTCGTGATCATACAGGGTGATATACAGTAGAAATCCACTCAGGCAGGTGTCCTGAAAGGAACAGCATTTCTAACCCACTAGTTAAATCCAACGATATGTCGTAACCGGTGAATAGACATCCTATAAATGCGCATTGGTAAATGTCTCTTATTTTATTTAGGGAGCTACCATTTGATTTTTATGGGGGGTAGGATGAAAAATTGTGTCCTGCATTTTTTTTTTAGTTGTAATCTCTGTCCTGCCTTTTTATTTTTCACTCTATTCGGTCCTGCCTTTTTTTTCTAATTAGTCTATCCTGACTTTTTTTTACATAAAATGTTATCCTGACTTTTTTTTTTGCCAAGTTGCTCATCCTGCATTTTTGTTTTATACCCCCCCCCCCCCCCCCCCCCCCCCAAAACCATACATTCTTTATTTAGAACAAAAGATATACAAGACCATCACATATACATACAATTATATAATATATCGGGTTACACCAGAGAAAATTTTGAAAACAGAATACAAACCTCTATTTAAAAAAGGACAGTAAGGTTATCATGACAATAGATCATACGAAATATAGGACTATACCTTTGAGTTCTATCTACTATTTATTCTATCAAGTCGGAAAATGCAATTATAACTCATATGTTGCTTTCTAACAGAATAACCAAGTGATGAAAGTAATCTTATCTATATTTTATTGCAGGTTTTCTAATTACACTGGGTTTGCTTATTTTATTGTATGTTTGGGAACCACGTGATAACTCTGTTCTAACTATTTTCGGATTCATGGCTCTCTGGGGAGCTACGGATGCTGTATGGCAATCCCAAATTCAAAGTAAGTCTATTGGCATAATATGTGCAATGTCTACTTTTTCATCTTTGTATTTTGATGATTACATAATGTTTGGCAGACGTTAATTTCTGTCCGTCTTTGACATTTAGTCATAACAAATAAATAGTCAAGTATTATTGAATTGCTATAGATAACGAATTGGCTAAGATGTATATTTATTTTGGTACAATTTGCTCGATATACATATATACATGTTCTTATATATATTTAGCCGTTGTTTCAAGTACAACGAGGAAACACACTGATAGAATTGGAACAAACTCTCAAATGGCTTGAAAAATAAAAAAAAAAAGAATTTAATATGGCACCAGTTCCATATACAATAAATATTTGTAAAGGAAAATCCTTCACTCGTAAAACTTGTTGGGATCAATGTTTGAATGTAAAACTTATCAAGGTGTATTTTAGATATAGTTGCCCATACATATATGTTATCTACAATTAAGCGAGATAAAAATTCCGAAATTTTAAAAAGAAGAAAACATAATCCACAACGTTCCTACGTTTTCTGATTCACAACATCGATATCAGAATAGTTGCAATTTAGCTCAAAGAACATTAGGATTGAAAATACTAGTAGACATGCTTATGACATTTTACTTTATAATTATATGTAGTTGTATCACATCATATTGCATGTGACATAGCAATTCTATTTATAGTTGGAATAGATTTCCCGTAAATTATAAGAAAGAAAACAACCCGAAGGAATTGAACTGAAGGATCGTCTGCGAATTGAAGTCGTTTGATTTCCTTTATCCGTCGGATAACAGTATAAATTAGCTTTCTAGATAAAATTATCAGTGTTTTGCATGCGTCGATGAGACAGCGACCGATCGACACACAAAACTTGAGAATTCTAGAAATCAGCATGCTTACTTCTATGTCATTTGCTCTAAATCGACTCGAGTCGAAATAGTTGTTTGTTTGAATTCCCCTAAACAATTTTCACACAAGGCCAATTTTCAAAATGTCTTTTATCTTTGCTCAAATTCGCAATATCAAAGTTCCATGTGAACACTTCGGGATTCAAACAATACGGCTTATTTCTGAACAATCACTAAAATATAAACATGATAAACGCAGGCCTAAAGATAGCAAAAACTTACAATTTTGACAGATATTTGCAAATTGAATTATTTAAGAAAGACGTCCTGAATTAAAGGGAAAGTTAACGTTTATTGAAAGTAAAGCTATGGAATATTTTCTTCGCCTACAGATTAATTAATTTCGTTAGAAAAGTCCTGCCATACAAAATTTTACTAAAAAACATGTAATTTTAAAAAATTTTGTATCAGAATATCTTCAACAGCAACCAATTTTTGAATTTTTTTAAGTATGATATAGACTCTTCGAAAAAATTCAAATTCAAATTATAATTTTAGATTTTACACCATGTATAAATTTCAATCAAGTTACACTCGGTATGAAGTTATTACAGTGTTGCATATATCTATATTTTTCTATTATTATATATTTGACAAAATATGTTTCAGTACATTTCCAAAACTTGCAACTTTTAAGGAAAAAATGTTTGGACAAACAAATAATTTATCAAATCAACTACAATTAAATCTAATTCTAATCCATTTTTATTATTCAGAAATAATTGAATTGTGTGATCTATCCATATAATAATTGACAGGTTGCCAGTTTAATTAATTAGAAACATATTCTCATGCTTGAAATATAGATTTTATTGTCAAAAAATATAAAAGGTTGTGAAAGTCGCTTTTTTTTATATTGATTGATTGTATACCGACATATATTTGTTCAAGAACAAATCGCTTCCATATTTCTTGCGTTTTGAAATGGATAAATTATTTATCGGTTGTCAAACATGGAGCAAGATTATTTTACAACTGTTGTATATTACAGAACATCAAATAAGTTTACTTATGACCGTAGAACAGTTGGATTGATTATTGAACGTTTTACGTTGCCTGAACGCAAACTGCTATATCGTCGCGACAAATTGGAACTGTACGTGCGTCAAATCTAAAATCCGTTCAAAACAATCGGATGTACAATAATCTATTTTCACACATATATATCTTATCCAGATTTGGCACTTTTTATTAGGATATTTTGGTTTTCAGTGTTCTCCAAGATCGTAATATATTTGGGTTTTTGTTTTTGTTTTTGATTTTAAGCGCCACTACTGAGTCTTTTGTAGACAAAAAGCGCTTTTGGTGTACTAATTAAATCCTAAGCCTGGTATCTGTGAACTTTCAAGAGTCCGTTTTCATTCGGTTCGTTTTGTTCATTCTTTACATTTTCTTGCTTGAGAAGTATATACTCTGCCCGATTGATATTGCATACTGAAGCAAATTACATATTTTCTTCGTTTGTAATCAACAAATAACTTTCATTTCAATGTTATTGTTTTAAATCAGTAATGTCATGAAAAGTATGTTAGAGTTATTTTGGTATCCACTATTAGAATTCAAATATATATTTAATTGCGTCATGCGATGTTCATTTCCCTTATACACAACGAATAACAATTGAAGATTACACAATTAGAGTAATCCGGCTCTATGATTGAATTTCAAAATCCAATGCTTTTCAATCAGCGATTAATGTAGTAAAATAACATATTTAGACTATCTGGTTATATATATATATATATATACATAATGAGACATGCAATTACATTGTGAGAATTAAACATTGATTTGTAGGAAAGATAGAAATTCGGAAAGTGATGATACCTATTAATTTAATAAAAGGAACAATTTGAATTTTCATTTGTAGCATTTGTACGAAGTTATTTTGAGTTTCATATGGCAATGCGATATTTTCGACATGCGTTTATATCAAACAGTTATCTTTTCACGATACCTAACTTGAGCATAAAAAAAAAACTATTTTAACCATCAAAGTGAGCAGACCCCAAAACAAGTACGAGACGTGCTGTTTGTTAAAGTCTGTGATAAGGTTATACAAGCGAAATTTTTGTCTGTGTTTACAATTTACAAACAATATGATTTTTTTTTCTGCCCTTCTGTCTGTCCATTTCATATTTCCGCACAATATTAGCATACTTAAAATCTTAGAATATTTATTATACTTTACTGTATTATTGCGGACGGTACCCGCGGGAACCGACAGTCCACCAGCAGTGGCATACCGTGACCCAGTAGTAGTACGTTAAATGTAGGATTCCAATTTCCGTAAAATCTGTTCCGTCAACTCTTATATCTTATATAAAAATAAGAAAATGTGGTACAATTGCCAATGAGCATGATGAGACAACTGTTATATAGTATACATTTCATTATAACATACTTCGATAAAATCGATAAAATGTAACTTTGTATAATGTTCAACTCATACACGAACTGCTTGAATCATTGAAGTATATCAATAATGCTATGCAATATTCTTGCCGACCACGATACAAAACATTATGTCGCAAATACATGATTTCGGGTATAAAAATTAATCTTTATTTACTTCGTTAAATATTTATTCAAATATATATGAAGTCATCGTATATACACATGCCCGTGTCTGTTGTGACGTTTTTGATTTTAACGAACGTAATCTATGTATTACTGGTAAATTATTAAGCCAGGGATTTCGTTACCACAAATTACTTAAAACCTTTAATCAATTCTTCCACAGATATATAGATTTGGTTTTGAAGTTTGGTTGTACCTGTAGAAAACTTATTTCAAACGGGATTGCACATCCTCATTTTTACGGCAATATTGTTTACCGTGCCTGGAAATTTAGAAACGATGGTAAACTTATCGATCCTTTAAATAAAGTTATTCTAAAAGGTTACCAATTCAACACTGTAATAAGATCATTAAATATTATTTTTATTGGTACTGATATTGATTTTGTTATCAGTAAATTAAAAGCAAACTAAATATTATTGTTATATACATATACACATTCATGGATCTACAATCTGTCGATACCTGTATCTTGGCATTGCACAAGGTCATGTTTTTCTCTGAATTTTTATGACGTCTTTACACTAAATTCATTGGATGTTGGATGTGTACGTTGAACTAGCTGTCAGTAACTGCGAGTACTCTCAGATCTGTACTGAGTGTCTTTTTGTTGTTTGGATGTACAAGTAACCGGCCACGTCCACTTGTAATTGTAGTATTTGTATTTTTATCCATCTGATGAGTTAAGCCTCTTTCAACTGATTTTTATAGTTCGTTCTTATGTTGTACTGTTACACCACTGTCCCAGGTTACGGGGAGGGTTGGGATCCCGCTAACACGTTTAACCCCGCCACATTATGTATGTATGTGCCTGTTCCAAGTCAGGAGCCTGTAATTCAGTGGTTGTCGTTTGTTTATGTGTTACATATTTGTTTTTCGTTCATTTTTTGTACATAAATTAGGCCGTTAGTTTTCTCGTTTGAATTGTTTCACATTGTCATTTCGGGGCCTTTTATAGCTGACTGTGCGGTGTGGGCTTTGCTCATTGTTGATGGCCGTACGGTGACCTTTAGTTGTTAATTTCTGTGTCATTTGGTCTCTTGTGGAGAGTTGTCTCATTGGCAATCATATATATACAAGCTGCGCTTTTTCATATCATATTCAAGTTCATTAGTCAATTGCAGTTCAAATCTTTCTAATGCTTTTAGAGTTTACCAATAATTGGTATTCACCAGCAATGGGTATATGTATGTTTTAATTAGGTTGGATTGGCTCTCTTGAAGATCTAGATCACAGGCAACACGGTATAATAGTGCGTGCAAAGGATATATCATTCAGTTGGCTTACAATTAAATAGTACTGTGTATCTTGTGCTTTTTATGCCCCACTTAGGGGCATTATGTTTTTCGGTCTGTGCGTCCGTTCGTCCGTCTGTCCTGCTTCAGGTTAAAGTTTTTGGTCAAGGTTGTTTTTGATGAAGTTGAAATCTGATCAACTTGAAACTTAGTACACATGTTCCATATGATATGATCTTTCTAATTTTAATGCAATATTAGAGCTTTGACCCCAATTTAACGGTCTACTGAACATAGAAAATGATAGTGCGAGTGGGGCATCCGTGTACTATGGACACATTCTTGTTTATTAATTAAATATGTTCTAATTGCAGATATTTTGATCACATCTACAACAAAGCGGGAATCAGCAGTTGTGTGTTTCCGAATATGCCAGGGCTTTGGTTTGACCGTAGTATTTTTGTCCTCCCTTTGGTTGTCTTTACTTTATAAAGTGTGTATGGTTGGAGCAACTCTTGTTTTTGGAGTTATGGGATACATGCTGCTAGAAGTTACTAACAATCCAGTCACACCTTTAGATCCAGAACCATTCCCGTTGTAAAAATAGCTTTGTCTAAGTGCGTCAATGTAATCACATATTACATAAGGGTCTAGATGGAATTTAGAGAATAGATACTACAGGACCAATACTGCATAAAAATTGCCCCCCCCCCCCCAAAAAAAAAAAAAAGAATAGAGAATAGTAGTGTTCTAAAATTCATATAAATGAGAATAATAGTGTGCTGAAAAATAAAAATTACAGAACATTGGACGTAAAATTAAAGAATACAGAAATGCAGTCCCCATCCAGACCCTCATGTAGATGCAATACCATCGGATGATTACATTGTTACTTAAGTAACTGGGGAAAAATTATGAAACTATTTGTTAAACCATGTGATTTATTGTATTTTTCATTATCTGAGCATTTATTTTCATGACAAAATGAGGTGTGTTCCATTTAAACATACAGTGTAGCCAATGCATGCACTGTCACTATGGGGTAACCACCTAAAAATCCAAATGAAATCGAACTCTATGGAAATCTGCAGACAACAAAACAATCGATCAATTGTCTTGTGGGAATGAGTTGTACATTATGTAAAACCACATTGATGTGTTACATGTATCTGAATTTTCATTGGTATTCATTTTTCAACTGATAATATAAAAAAAATACTTTTGTGCCAAGCCACATGTCTTTTGATATTTCAATTGTTTGGAGACAGATTAACATAATAAATGCTGCTTGATTCTAGATCATATTTGTTTATACCGTATTATTTTATATTGCACAGTTTAATTCATTGAGTAAAATATTGTGTAAAACCAAAGTAATAATTCAACTATAAATTTAATGCAACGAATTTGGTTGATTCAAGTATTTGTCGTGTTTCTAAATGTCCATTGTAATCATGTTAAATATATTATTAGACAGTAGTGCTAAGACATTTTAAATATATGTTTGATATTAATGAGATTTGAGAATATGTCTGCATTGTTTATGATATTGTTCCTTTGTCAAACTACGGAAATTCATGTTTTTTTGTGTCTAGAATTGCAAGAAAACAGAAAGCCTTTGAGTAAATCCAAATATACATTTCATTAAACCTTGATAAAATTTTCCTAATTTAAAACAAGTCAAAAAGAGACCATTGCAGTTATTATATGATTTATTTAAAAACTTAAATTCATTTTTTCTAAAGAAAAAAAAAGTGGTTTCTCACTTTTTATACGACCGCAAAAATTGAAAATTTTTTGGTCGTATATTGGTATGACGTTGGCGTCGTCGTCGTCGTCGTCGTCGTCGTTGTCGTCGTCGTCGTCGTCGTCGTCGTCGTCGTCCGGCGTCGTCTGGCGTCGTCCGAAGACACATTGGTTTTCGCACTCTAACTTTAGTTTAAGTGAATGGATCTCCATGAAATTTTACCATAAGGTTCAATACCATGAAAGGAAGGTTGGGATTGATTTTGGGGGTTATGGTACCAACAGTTAAGGAATTAGGGGCCAAAAAGGGGCCAACAATAAGCATTTTTGTAACTTCCAGACAATAACTTGTGTGTAAGTGTATGGATCTCTCTGACATTGTACCACAAGGTTCCATATCACAAAAGGAATGCTGGGATTGATTTTGGGGGTAATTGCCTCAAAATGTTAGGAATTAGGGGCCAAAAAAAGGGCAAAAAACAAGCATTTTTCTAGTTTCATGACAATAACTTGTGTGTAAGTGTTTGGATATTTATGAAATTGTACTACAAGGTTCCATATCACAAAGGGAAAGCTGGAATTGAGTTTGGGGGTAATTGCCCGAAATGTTTAGGAATTGGGGGCCAAAAAGGGGCCAAAAATAAGCATTTTTCTAGTTTCCAGACAATAACTTGTGTTCAAGTGTATGGATCTCTCTGAAATTGTACTGCAAGGTACCATACCACAAAGGGAAGGCTGAGATTGAGTTTGGGGGTGATGAATCATAAGGGGGTTCAAAAAATTTTGGGGGGGGATTTTTTTTTTTCTTTTTTTTTTCTTTTTTCCCTTTTTTTTTTCTTTTAAAATTTTCCATTTTAAGTTGGTTATTTCTGATTTATATTTAAAAGCAAATAATAATGATATGGAAGGAGATACACACCAAACAGGATGTGTAAATTATTATATAATAAGTATTGTGCAATAGCAAGAAATTTTCAATTGCACAGTATTGCACAATAGCAAGAAATCTTCAATTGCACAGTATTGCGCAATAGCAAGAAATCTTCAATTGCACAGTATTGCGCAATAGCAAGAAATATCCAATAGCACAATATTGCGCAATAGCAAGAAATTGTCAATTGTACAGTATTGCGCAATAGCAAGAAATAATCAATTGCACAGTATTGTGCAAAAGAAGATACTTCGTATAAATTGCTTATTTCTTGATCAATTTCAATGGGGTTTTATTCTTGAATTCTTGGGGTTCTTTAATATGCTGAATCTAACCGTGTATTAAGTTTTTGGATTTTGGGCCCCGTTTTTAAATTGGTCCACATTGAGGTCCAAAGGGTCCAAAATTTAACTTTGTTGGATTTCATCAAAAATTGAATTATTGGGGTTCTTTGATATGCCGAATCTAACCGTGTATTTAGATTCTTAATTTTTGGTTCCGTTTTCAAATTGGTCTACATAAAGGTCCAAAGGGTCCAAAATTAAACTTTGTTTGATTTTAGCAAAAATTGAATATATGGGGTTCTTTGATATGCTGAATCTAACCATGTATTTAGATTTTTGATTATGGGCCCAGTTTTCAAGTTGGTCCAAATCGGGGTCCAAAATTAAACTTTGTTTGATTTCAACAAAAATTGAATATATGGGGTTCTTTGATATGCTGAATCTAACCATGTATTTAGATTTTTGATTATGGGCCCAGTTTTCAAGTTGGTCCAAATCGGGGTCCAAAATTAAACTTTGTTTTATTTCAACAAAAATTGAATATATGGGGTTGTTTGATATGCTGAATCTAACCATGTATTTAGATTTTTGATTGTTGGGCCCCGTTATCAACTTTGTCCACATTGAGATCAAAAGGGTCCAAAATTAAACTTTGTTTGATTTCATCAAAAATTGAATATATGGGGTTCTTTGATATGCTGAATCTAACCATGTATTTAGATTTTTGATTATGGGCCCAGTTTTCAAGTTGGTCCAAATCGGGGTCCAAAATTAAACTTTTGTTTGATTTCAACAAAAATTGAATATATGGGGTTCTTTGATATGCTGAATCTAACCATGTATTTAGATTTTTGATTATGGGCCCAGTTTTCAAGTTGGTCCAAATCGGGGTCCAAAATTAAACTTTGTTTGATTTCAACAAAAATTGAATATATGGGGTTCTGTAATATGCTGAATCTAACCGTGTATTAAGTTTTTGGATTTTGGGCCCCGTTTTTAAATTGGTCCACATTGAAGTCCAAAGGGTCCAAAATTAAACTTTGTTTGATTTCATCAAAAATTGAATTATTGGGGTTCTTTGATATGCCAAATCTAACCGTGTATTTAGATTCTTAATTTTTGGTTCCGTTTTCAAATTGGTCTACATAAAGGTCCAAAGGGTCCAAAATTAAACTTAGTTTGATTTTAACAAAAATTGAATTTTTAGGGTTCTTTGATATGCTGAATCTAAACATGTATTTAGATTTTTGATTATGGGCCCAGTTTTCAGGTTGGTCCAAATCGGGGTCCAAAATTAAACTTTGTTTGATTTCAACAAAAATTGAATATATGGGGTTCTTTGATATGCTGAATCTAACCATGTATTTAGATTTTTGATTTTTGGGCCCTGTTATCATTTTTGTCCATATTGAGATCAAAAGGGTCCAAAATTAAACTTTGTTTGATTTCATCAAAAATTGAATTCTTGGGGTTCTTTGATATGCTGAATCTAACCATGTATTTAGATTTTGGATATTGGACCATAATAGGTGAATGTCCAATTTAAAATTTTTAAGTTCTTAGACCACATTCATTCTGTGTCAGAAACCTATGCTGTGTCAAATATTTAATCACAATCCAAATTCAGAGCTGTATCAAGCTTGAATGTTGTGTCCATACTTGCCCCAACTGTTCAGGGTTCGACCTCTGCGGTCGTATCAAGCTGCGCCCTGCGGAGCATTTTATTTGTAATAGATTTAAATGTCAAATAACTTGTTCTTCTAACTCTATGAAGCATTGTGAATTGTTACAGATTTTTATGACAAGTAAATGTTTAAAGTTCAGCTGTCTATGTGATGCTTTTATACTTATTAAAAAGCTATTTAATTGGAACGCATATTAAAATATTTATAAGTATGTTCATTAACTAGTTGTACAGTTTTTGTTGCATTGTTTTAATTGCATGTACATGTACATGTACCTGAAAATGCACAACAAAAAACTACCGTCCTACAATATTCCTATACCGTATTTAAGTCTACATGATAAATATTTATAATTTTAATTATGTAATATGAAATTCCATTGCTTAATCTATTTCTGACTTTTCATATTATTCAAACCAATTTTTGTGTAGACTCTGACACAATATGAAAATATTTGAAAAAATAGAAAACAAGATATGAAATTATGTTATTACCTTCAAATTATGTAACATATTGTCAAAAGTTTAAGCATTGTAACTATTGTGTCACATGTAGTGATATCTAGATTTACTGTAGGTATTTATTGCACCAATATCTCAAAATAAATTTAATACGTATGGCCACTTTCTACTTAAAGTGTACCCACACAGCGTATTTGTCCGTTGAAACTAATTTTGAAAGGTCACATTTAATTTCATTCCAGCTTATATTTTTACATGATTTTTTATAATAATTTTATAATTTTTTCTTGTAATTTCTTGTTTTTGCTTATTATGTACAAGTGAAATAAAATATTAGAAGTATTTTGTGTTCTGTAATTAACCTAAATATGGCAAAGTAAAATAAATCTTAATGTTAATATATAGAATGCAAAAATTAATGACGCATAGAGTTGCTGGTTACCAGGATTTTTTTGCCAAAGCAAAATTTATTTTCTGTAAAATGTAGTTTCTGCAACGTGTATCGATCTGACGAGTTAAGCCCTTTTCAACTAATTTTTATAGTTTGTTCTTATGTTGTACTGTTACACAACTGTCCCAGGTTAGGGGATGGTTGGTGCCTTCAAACAAGTTTAACACCGCTACATTCTGTATGTGCCTGTCCAAAGTGAGGAACCTGTAATTCAGTGGTTGTCGTTTGTTGCTGTATATCATATTTGTTTTTCGTTCATAATTTTGTACATAAATAAGACCATTAGTTTTCTCGTTTGAATCGTTTTACATTTGTTTTTTTTCAACGCCTTTTATAGCTGACTATGCAGTATGGTTTTTGCCGTACGGTGACCTATAATTGTTAACCTCTATGTCATTTGGTCTCTGGTGGAGAGTTTTCTCATTGGTAATTATACAACATCTTCTGATTTTTATATAAAAGATGTTAACTAGAAGACAACCCATGCAAATACGTTATTACAACAAAATGCCAACTGTCCATTGGACAAATCAAGCTTAAGAGGTCCCACCAATTTTTTTCTTTTTTGAAATCATGACATGATCCATATTATCAAAACATACATACACCAACAAATTAAAACACAGTGAAAATTGATGCTCGGCTTGTACATCAAACATAAAAAATATGCTAAATATGAGCCACTCCATAAATAGATACATTTCGCTTTGCATGTAGTACATGTCAGATTGTCCAAAGAGCATATGAATCAGTGAAAACTCAATCCTGCACTAAAGGTGTAGGACTAAATTAAATTTAATTGTACTAGTCAAAATTCAGGCGAAAAGCCTCGCTATTCTTTCAATTTTGCAAGCTTTTACAAAAATATATAAGTTTCATACAATGTTTGAACACCAGTATACTACTGTTGCCTTTATTTATGTTTATTGAATACATATATATCTAGGTAGACTAGCCTAATTTTTTTTAATCTCAAGCTGTGTTAGGAAATGACAAATTCCGTTGATTGATAATAGTCTAATTTTTGATTTCGATAGTTTTGATGGACTTCTTCCTTTTTGAATCTACATTGGAGTTAGGTAATTTTGTTAAATCTTTTTCTCGCTCTCCGTTCCACATCTTTGTTTATAAAGTAGCATCAAAGCAAATATTTTTTCATAAATTTATTCAAAAATAAATCAACAAAGCAATGGTACATATAAATCATTTTAAAAACTATATGATAAGAAGGCAGTAATGTATGATCTCAATTGCAGCAGTATTAACTTAAAAAATATCACAGAATCTACATGTATATAATACAATATGTCATTTAATAACACTATAAAAATAGTTTTAAGCATTTCTACAAATTTAAAATCATGTAAAATACAGATATAATACCAACTTCTAATCCTCTAGAAAATAATTCCTTGAGATCACTACTCTACACTGAACAATAATTATACTTTTACAGAATGTAGAAAATAATGAACAGATACAGTATACATATACAGTTATTCAAAATGTAAAGAACTTGTGCACTATTTCTGATTAAACAGTACAATGAAAAGGGAATAGAAAATGCTGAGGGAATTAATTTTATAGCACATAATAAACTTTGCTTTCTATACAAAGGTGGAATAAAGGATTTTCTTTCTAAAAGTATATGTTCTTTATTATTCATACATATTTTAACGTCCGCTTTATTTCACTTTCAATCAGCAGACTGAATTTCAAATATATGAAAATGACTGGATTACATATCTGTTTATTTGAAACTACTTGACTGGGATTCAGAGCATGCAGCTCCCATCAATGTCCAACCAGTGCCTTTTTATTAGACCGGTCAATCCCCAGTTCTTCTTCTTTTTGGTCTAACCAGTCTTCATAAGTCTCACCATCCCTTGTTCTTCCAAGAGAACGCAGGTAAAGTCTAAAGGCACTAGGTCCTCTTTCTATTCTTCTTACTTCCTCTTGTGGTCTATGGATGTCCGTTTTCTTCTTTTCGAATTCTCGGTTCTCTAGCCATGTTTCATATGATTGGCTTTTTTCTATCTCGGCACGTTTTCTGAAAAAAAACAACGACGTATTAAATGCAACAATACCAGAACAATTCACAAACGAAAATTAGTCATTAAGAATGTTCTTAATGTATCTAGAATTAGAAATATACAGAAATTAAAAAAGAAAAGACGCATTCATCATCACCTAAATTTATGAAAATACCTGTAAGGTAGATGCTAAATTACCAATGACTAATCTATGTCTTTTAACTTCATCAATGACAAAAAAATATCAGAAAATTAAATAGAATATTCACTACAAAGAGACATATTATATTCATAAAAAGCTTCTATGAGACTGTTCACTCAATGAAAACACAGATCTACAAAAACAAAATGAAAGAGCACACAGAGAGACAATTTAATTACGGAAATCAGATTTGATATCGATCTTTGTGAGTGACAAACGAGCAAATTTATAAGTTAAAAATATTGATCTGTGATGTGTTGAAAAATATAAACATTTGGATTCATGGAAGCGATATATGTTTTGCTTTCAATTTGATTAGCAGACAGCAAGCTCACAGTCAGACTTAATTTTATCTAGCTAACACGATAGTATGCATGAATACATGTGATTAAAAAGTCTTTAAAGGTACCAGGCTTATAATTGTGTACGCCAGATGCGTGTTTTGTCTACAAAAGACTCATCAGTGACGCTCAAACAAAAAAAAAAAATTTAAAAAGTCAAATCAAGACATGGTTTCTGATCTTACCCTAATCTATATCAGAATGTTACAGAAAAAGGTTTATGTTGACTTTTTGGGCCTTGGCGTGTCATAAAACAGACCTAGCGTTACTTTCTATGTATGCTAATATAAAGTGATGGCATTAATAATACAGACATGAACGTTTTAAAATGACTAATACACTCTGGCATATTACGTTAGAGTTTTAAGCATGTTAATTGCGTTTAGAAATATCATAAAACACTAATAATCTAAGAGAAAAAAAAGCCTTATTTATGCATGTAAAAAATATTCATTCCCTTAGAGTAAGTAATCTTTTAACTCTTATCTCAGAAACACCCAACCTTTTATTTACAAATATCGAAGACATAAACACCAACTTTCTATAAGAAAACCCATAAAGTTTAATTCATCATGAATTCTTAGTTTTATGTTGATGAACTGTCATTTCACACTTTAAATTGTTCTGCTTTACAAAAGCTATATTTTATGAATTCTTAATCATGTAAGGTTCATTTTGATAAACTCTCATTTCACAATTTTTATTTAACCAAAATCAGTTTCAACAATTTTTAACACAAAGGCGACAATAGATTACGTTATATATTTTCTAATATCCCTTTCAATAATTTTGTAAAAAAAAACATACTTCTTCCTTTCTCTTAAATTTCTTCTCCGAGCGTTTACAATTAAATTTAACCAAGGAAAGCCTGTCCTTTGTTCAACATTAAATGCGAATGACTTTAACATTGAATAAGTCTGAATACATAGTGTGTTAACTATATGTAGGGGAAATAGAATGTCAGAACAAAGTGTTGTACACAAATAATATAAGGACAATAGATATAGGAAGATGTGGTATGAGTGCCAATGAGACAACTCTCCATCCAAGTTACAATTTATAAAAGTAAACCATTATAGGTCAAGGTACGGCCTTCAATACGGAGCATTTGCTCACACCGGACAGCAAGCTATAAAGGGCCCCAAAAAATTACTAGTGTAAAACCATTCAAACGGTTAAACCAACGGTCTAATACAATGTTTGTTTATACCAATATAGACATTTAAAAAAATTGAAGGATTGACAGGCATTTACGATATAGAAATAAGATATTAGTATGAATTAAAGGAAATTAGGGGTATATGTCAATGTTACAATACTAAACGCAAAAACAAAACGACATCTAGAGGTCAACATACCATCTTTAAGAAAAGAAAAGTGTCTTAACAATATTGAAATCTATTAGTCATTCTCTAAATCACCATAAGCATACACAATTCCATGAATAAAGTTAACGAAAGGCCACCAAAGAGTAAAACAAGTGTATCCATCTACATGAATATAAATGTGTACGTATTTGTTTTGTTTTTTTTATTTCCTTTCTTTCTTAACAAGGTTTCAGCATAAAACTAAAAATATAATATGAAGAACTATATTTGTTATAAAAGCAACTAGCAACAGTCGTTTTTGCAAACATGTGTATATTCTAAGTCTAAATTTGTAATACCAGTTAATTAAGTGGTCAGTATAATATTGTTAGAAATGATTTATTCTTCTCACTTAAATCATGATTTTTCTACCGTTTTTTAAAACTATCTATATTGCAAAATGTTGATCTTCATTTGGTGGTTTCTCCCAAAATTCAGAATTTAAAAGTTTAACTTAAAATGTTAATGTTACATAATTTGTTCCTTTGTGTTTTGAGACCCCATTCAGTTAATTTGAAGTTATTGCATCAATTTTGCAATGAACTATGCATTATGAAATTTCCTTTAATCATAGGCAACTCATTTATAAACCTCCCAATGAAAGCTGATTACTTAGGTATAATTGTGATAATCGTACCAAGTCTTACAATAATGACAGAATTCACCCATTCATAAAAAGGAGAACTTCTTTCTTGTCTTTTACATGCATTTTGATAGAAGTTAATATATATCTAATATGTTAGGTAAATAATATTAGAAGAGATGTCAAGAATTTGTATAAATTTAAAAGTACTATGTAATTGAGCGTATGGGTTACCATGGTTACGGTTAGACAAATAAGAAATTTAGTATGTAAATAAGCTAAAAAAGAAAGATAAATGGTGAATAAAAGATGAAGGATGAGAACCATGAAATTACTTACTCATCCAATTTTCTGTGTAGGCATGAAATATAGAAACAAAACATTTAGCATAAAAAGTGTTCAAAGCTGACCTTTTAAGAATAGAATTACTGGATCTTTTGAATGTATTATTTAATTATCTTTTAAAATGATGTCTACGCAACAAAAAATATATATATCATCAATCGTGGAATTGATGCTCTGAAAATTTTGCCTTTATCCAATCAAACTGAATGCTAGATTTACAAAGTCTTCTGCTATGATTCTTAATAATAATCAGTTGTCCTGTCAGACTAAATTATGTTTGTTTTCTTAAAAAGTCTGAGAGTAAAAATGTACCAACAGTAAAATATGTAGGATATAACTTTATTTTAAGCTTTCCAGTAGTAAATTTGTAGTTATTACTGTCACAAATGGAGTTTACCTATCACCATGTATGAAAACTAGATCTAAGACTATTTGTGACAGTTCAATAAAGATTTACATTCCTGTCTGCAAGGCTGAAAATGCAATATAGGCTATTAAGTCTACGTAATTTTAAACAAGATAATTCTTGATTCAGTTAAGGTCTAAAATGACAAATAAACACAAAGAAAACAACAGGGATTTATATGAACTATGTTTATATTAAAACTTCTGTTATAAAATGTTTTTAAAGGACTATGTTTACTCTTTTGATCTAAAATAAAACATTTGTATACGTTATATAATTAAACAATAAAATATAATGCAACAACAAACATATGAGGCACAACTTACCCAAGACCTTTCTTTTTCTCTCTGAAGAAATAGTAAGCTCATCAACTTCAAAGAGGTAACAAGTTGAATTGTGATTAATTGCTCACTTATTAGATATAAGAAGATGTGGTATGAGTGCCAATGAGACAACTTTCCATGATAACCTCGCTATAAGTATTCATTTATCATGGAGTCAATGAGCAATTAATGTGAAAGAGGGACGAAAGATACCAGAGGGACAGTCAAACTCATAGATCGAAAATAAACTGACAACGCCATGGCCATGGTGAAAACGCACCACAGGGTAAAATATGGTCAAATGAAGTTTGATACAAAATTTCAGGGTGTTCTGATTCATTATTCCTGCGAATTTCATAAATGGCCATTTTGTGTAAGAATATTAAAGGAAAAGGCAATGAGGAAGTTGATGAGCGAGGACAATGAAAACATCAAAAGATATAACATGTTCACAAGAAGCTTGATACCAAACTTCAGAAAATTTCATACATGGCCTTTGTGTGTACGATAATATAAGTATTCGACAAAAAGAGTTTGTAGTTACTGAGAATAACATAAATTTCATTAGACGGACGGTGGGGTGAACGGACATAAAGGGATAAAATAGTTTAGCTCCCTCTTTCGACATAGGGATATAAGAGAATTGCATGAGCATTCAATTTAATTGAAGTACTATATAACCCGAATCAAAACTTTGTTTTTAAATTACGTTTTTCAGCCAGAAGAGTTCATGAATAGGAACTAGAAATATATAATTTAACATCATGCAATTATTTTAATAGTTTATTTCATTTCTATTATACTGTCACTCATAATTTCCAACTCCGAAAAAAAGAATTTTAGAAAGTAAAATACATTACCTTTCGTTTTCCTCCGCCTTTTCTTTCTCTTTCTTTGCCTTTACTACGTCTAATGATTTTTGTTCCCGTGCTTTCTTTTTCCCAATCCATTCATCATAGGAGAAAGGCTGTTTACTACAATACATAAGAAAATGATACTGATCCATTGGAATATAAATAAAATTGAGAATGGAAATGGGGAATTTGTCAAAGAGACAACGACCCGACCATAGAGCAGACAACAGCCGAAAGAACAGTTCTAACATAATTGTAAAGACTTAAGATATAGCAACAAATACTGAAAATGATATTTAGCAAATGTATACTACTACCAATACGATTTGTTGGAATGAGTAATCTTACCATATCAGTTCATTATATCATGTTTTCATATTTAAATTTCAAAAAAACAGTATTTAACAAATAACCTCATTAAAAGTTGGAATTTACAAATACAAAATGTAAAGTCCTGTATGCGAATGAGATCGATTGTCGTTAAGACGTACACTAGACATGCTAGAGCTGTAAAGCTGTGCATTGTAAATTCATGTTGTGTGTCAAACGCCCTCACCGTAAATTTTAAGCTCCAAGTTCTACTACTGTACGCATAGGTTTTTTTCGTTACTGCATTGTCGCATAATAACCCACTCTTGTCATGACTGAGTACAAGGTGAAAGACTTATCGTTTAAATGCAGGTTTTCTATTTCCTATTCCCTATGACGGTTGTAGACAATATGTTGTGATGATGGAAACTCAAGATCTTAATCACACGATCTATTTTGTGTATCAGTGTGAAAAATCTGACATGTCTTTATATGTCAGGCACCCCACTACAATTCCATGTGTTGAAAGCAGGAGTCTCGTTACATTTAAACGTATGTACAACTTTATATCTAAACCTAATGATATAAGATCTGGAGACTATGACATGAAATATCGAGCAAACGACTTTAAATACCGAGTGAGTGCTAATCTTGATCTCATCCGCAAAACTTAAAATCTTTAATGTTGCATTATAATACACCTCATTTACGCATATTCTCCAGGGACAATGATTTTGGAAAGATTATATTACCGAAGGGTTCCAGGTGTATATAAACTTATCAAAGATACCAGGCTTAAAATCGTGTACGCCAGACGAGCGTTTCTTCTGCGAGACTCGTCATTGACGCGCAAATAAAAAAAAATAAGAAAGGCCAAACAAAGAACAAAGTTGAAGAGCATTGAAGACCCAAATTTCGAAATGACTTCATTTTGAGAAACCATTTTACGTCTCTAAAGAAAAACTTAACATATTAAGCTCACAATTTACCTATTAAGTGCACTATTTTACCACTTAACATATTTTGTGCGAGTTCAACAAGGTTTTATAGTATATTGCCATAAACATATTTTTCACATTTGTTCATGTTATCATATTCCAGTAAAATTAACAATTATGCAAATTTCCACAGAAAAGAAGTGCTGTGCATCCACAAAGTGTGTACAACTGACTCAAAATACAAAGATTTCAAAACAACTTTCAGATGATCTTTAATGCAACTGGACACGATTAGTTTGGTATTGCACTTTAAAATTTAAAAACATTATCTTGATTTTTGAAAACCAAGTAAAGCTTATAATCAGGATTTACGTCTGTTAAAAGTTCGCTTACTGCAACGCAAGAAATGATAAAGAAGAAAGCTTGTACCAAGGATTTGTGTCCAATGCAAGTTATTTGCACTGTAAAAATCTTTTAGGAATAACATGGATTATTCCATCCTTTGAAGTAATGTAGTTTCAGATGTATTTAATGAAATTATAAACGGAAAAGTAGGGTTAATCAATAAAATTTCGTTTGCTATTACATCCTAAAAATTAAAGAATTTCAAATAATGAAATCAGGACGACCAACACGAACAGCATACATACTTAAAAAGAGAAAGCAATCTACGATGTTCGGATATTTCCGCTGAATAAAATATCATTATACTTGCAGTTAAAATCAGATCATTAATTTTTCGTGATTATTTAACGAGAAAAGAAATTAATCAATCAACATAAGCCTTACATCTACATGATAAATGTTCTGAAAAGTGATTGTCAGTGTATGACCTATCAAACAAGTGATTTGTCTGAACAGTATGAGTATTGAATCTAAGTAGACACATTTGATCTTACTAAATCTTTCCTGTTAAACATGTCATATTTCGTCAAATTAAAATTACTATTTGAAATATATACTGATTCTTTCCTCAATATCTTTTAGATAAGTTATACCTTGTAGTAACATGAAGGGAGGGGGGCTAGGATGAAAATTTTTGTCATGCATTTTTTTTTAGTTGTAATCTCTGTCCTGCCTTTTTATTTTTCACGCTATTCGGTCCTGCCTTTTTTATTAGTTTATCCTGACCTTTTTTTACATAAATTGTCATCCTGCCTTTTTTTTGGCCAAGTTGCTCATCCATCCTGCCTTTTTTTTTACTCACCCCCCCCCCCCCCCCCCCGTAAAAATCAAATGGTAGCTCCCTAACGGTAATTATTTCACTGCACCCTATTACGGCGTTTGCCACAGGCTACTAAGTACATTTGTTGATAATGTATTACTAACAGTTGATTCACTTAAGCTAATTAGGAAACAAATAATGCATTGGAATGGGTAGAGCTCCGATCTAAGTTGACAAATCCTAGCTTGACAATATCGACACCATCATCTTAATCTGTATTTAAAAGTTGCCAAAACCAAACCAAAAAATTTATCACAAGTCTTCTCTACAACATGTATTTCAATAGTAATTTGGATTTATGTGTGGTTAAAAATATCCTTATTTACTTTTTTCGGCATAGATACTTACAATTTGTGAACATTTTTCAAAATTGCCGATTTTAGCCACTGTTATGTTGTGTATTTATAATTTGATGATATGTCTAGAATTTTTGTGTTCATGTTAAAATACTATTGGAAATGGTCATTATGTAAATAAATTCCGAGAAAGTTGGACTAACCTCTCTTATAGTATTATTAAAGACAATATATTATTTTGATGAACTAAATCCATGTACATACAACGAACCATTGAATGAAATAAAAATAAAATCTGACCTATTGAAGTTACGTAATGAAAAAGTAATTGGAGCAAATTAGAATGAAAAACGATAAGGTAATTATAATAACGTGATATAATATTTGGAAAATGTGTTTTTTTAGTCACGTGTTGTACTAATACATCTATATGTTTAGCATGTTTAGTGTCATGGTAAAATTGACAGGTAATGGATTATTCTTCAGTTGGTTACATTAGTTGTCTTTTTCATTCAAATAATACAATATTGATTACCAGTATCACATAGATTGACTATGGAAGTAACAATACCTATTTCAAATTGAATTCAAACGTTTACTGTGTAAACAAATGTGCAATAAAAGTGATGTATTCAAGTGCTATCATTCATGGTGTGCTACCATGTGAAATTGGACACCTAAATTGTCCTGATGAGCTCCATCATTGGGGTTTATAAGTTGTGAAATGGGAGAAGTTAAGTGCACTGAGTGATTAATATCGTCGTACAGAGCATTAAGTTCATGGTTATAAAGTTAAACAGGGAAAATAATTTGAAATAACATTTCATGCAATATCTAAAAAACATCAGAACCAAATTCCCTGTGCATGCTACTTACTTTCTACTGTGTCTAGAATGTCTATGACTGAAATATATCATTTTAATAAAATACACCTCTAAAATAATGGTCAGCATTCATTCCATGAAAAATAATACTGGTTTAGTATTGAACTTCCGATTTGTATTGAACTGACACAAAGGTCATAGTATCTTTGTAAATGAGCTCTCAAATACTGTAAATTCAGAAATTATTGCGTGCATTTATTATTGCGATTTTGGCATTTTAGACTAAAATGCGATTTAAATTTTTGCGATATTGAGAAAAATCTTGTTTAATTCATATAAAAAATTTCAAAATGCGAGTTTAAATTATTGCGATTATAACCCTGTCGCATTTTTCGCAATAATAAAAACATCGCAATAATTTCTGAATTTACAGTACAGCAAGGTGTGCATATATATTTGTAGAAACGCTACGAGCTGACCAAAAGGGACTTCATCTTAGGTCAACTTTACACGAGAGAGCTGTACCTCATTTCGTAATCATTTCTAAATTTATCAACAGGTAGTTTTAAGAAAAGTGTGTTACAAATCATATCCGTATCAAAGCTGATAATACCCTCGAGGACTCCGTGGTATCGAATCAGTGCTAGTAACTTTAACTGTTCTTCCATTCATATAAACGTAGAATACATACCCAGATCTAGGTTTAGCCCTTTCTTCTTTTATAACTGGCAGTCTCAATGAACCTGAAAACGTTTTATTTCATAAAGATACAGATTTGTTAAAGGACTTCCAGATTTAATAAACATTGAAGAACTTTGTATAAACATAAATGTAAATGCAAGCATATAGAACAGCTAGTTGTTCTTATTTCTTTGTAAATTGTGTATATCCTTTAATAAGTGAAACTGTATTACTTGAAACTGATATGACAACACATAATTGTCACTTTAAGAATTTGAAAATAAAATGGTTATTCTGAAATAAAATAATAAAATACATGTTTTAACTGCCGGTTTTTTCTTCTTCTTTATATACATGCAATTGATTCTGATGCATTGGTTACTTAACATCCAGAGGTTGATATTGGTAATGACATTTAATTCCAATGGAAAAGTATTAAGTTACTGGCTTTCCTTTGTCTACTGTGGCTGCTTAATTGTGCCCTGGTGATCTCAAATGATACCTACATAATTGGTCATGAATAAGCAAAGAGGACGACTTCAAACATGGCCAACTGACAAGGTTTCTTGACGATGAATTTGACAGAGTTTTGATCTCCTGGATATTGCCCAGATATAAATCCTTCAATTATGAGTGTGTCTAATATCTAGCTTCTACTTATTGTTTATAATGGATTATAAGACTCCATTTTTACGCTTCCTGCGAAATTACAATGATAAGCTTAGATATACCTCAACATTTGAAAAATATCATCATAAGTTTATCTATGCTTTAGTTTACCTTCTTCGCCATCTTCATCTTCTACAATTTCATACTCCTCTTCTTGTGGTTCTCCGCTACCATACAATCTTTCCCTGGTTAATTCACGAGGGTGTGCTTTTCGTCTTGGGGAGTTCATCCTTGTTCCTTCATACTCGGAGGGTGGCAGGATGTTTGAAAAGTAAAGCTGACATTGTTGTCCCTTTAACCAAACTGGGAAAGCTGAATCGTTAAATTGGTGAGCCATTCTTTCTGGTTCTGCGCTCTTTTTCGTTTGTTTTGCTCTCTGTTGCCATCGAAACAAAAATAAATGACGTTCACATGTTTTGTCTTGGTTGTATTTTGCAGCAATGCCTAAAGCGTCGTTACCATCAACATCTCTTGCTCCGATGTCCGACCCTGTTGGCAAAAGAAATTGCAACTTCTTAAGAGTGCAAATACTAGTAGTATAAATACAAATATCAAATACTCTGCTTAGGGGCTTTCAACGTCAGTTACATGTTAAAAGAACATTCCAACATCCCCAGAAAGTTAAAGAAGTTATAATTACTTCCATACAAACTGGTAAATAATTAGTAGTTAAACTTTCATTTATCAATACCATAGGCATACTCAAGACTATCTTTAATCTAGTTTGCAAAGAAAAATATAAAATCTTTGACTGATAATCCTTGATTTCCCGATTTTCGTATCCGTTCGTGTTCATAAATGTACTAGAACTTTTTGCTCGAAATAGCAACATTATCATACAACAATTTAGCATGCTACTTTAACAGAATAAATCTAGTAATTTTGAGAAGCAAGCGCCAATCAAATTTCACACTTCCATAGTCAAGACATAACTAATTAGTTGTCAACTGAACGTTTAGCAACATTAGTCGCTTTCTTAAGAACACATACCACTTTCTAAAAGAACGTCGACAATCTTCGATTGACCTTGAGCTGACGCAACATGGAGAGCCGTTCTACCGGCAGGTGTTGTAGCACTCAAACTAGCACCTGTGAAAATAAAAAAAGTATATAAAGATAAAAAATTATTAGCACTCCTTCAAAATTGAAAGTTTCATCAACGTAGCTAAGAAAGTAAGATGCAAACGAAATTGTCCATTCTTTTTTAATGTCCGTTAGATTCAGACGTCTGGTTACTTCCTTTAGTTTAAATTGCATATAGTAAGAATACTTTTAAAAATTATCGGAAACCAATTGTGCTGTTAGAAACAATACTAGCTATTAGATATGGTTAGTATTCGTGCTTCCTGATTTAGATATTGATTGGTTGATTAATTGGCGATAATTTAAAGTCCATTGACAAATATTTAATGCATATCCAGGACACGGTTTGATAAAACAAAATATCGAGAAAGTTTGAAAAAAGTGTGAAACGGATGATGGATGCAAAAATTTGACTGGTACTGGACAAAAAGTAAACCGTGCAACAGGCCACCTACGAACTTCCAAAATAATATTTAAATGGTTCTTCAACTTTAATAGACCATCTAATTCACTGAACACTGCCACCAGGCTTAACCTCCGGGGGCCCATTCCAACTGGACGTTCTTGTGTATTTATTTATTCAACACAGCCAAATTTAACCTTCCTTAGCATAGGACTTTAACTAACGGAAGGAAAGGCTAAAGTAACTATATTTATAATCAACACTTAATTCTTGCAGCTAATTAAGGCTTTGCTATGAACCATCACTATCGAATAGGTTTGTAGGATTTGTTAAAAAAGAGGAAAACGATACCAAGGGGACAATCAAGAGGCACAAGTCAAAGAAAACAGACATTACCATAACAAAAATGAAAACTGACGAAAAGACAAACAAGTCTACAAAACACTACTCAGAAAACTAAAGACTGAGCAACACGAACCCCGCCACAAACTGGGGTGATATCTGGTGCTCAGGAAAAAACCAGAGTCTGCCCCACTAATGGCTCCTGTCGTGTTACTCATGGCTAGTAATCCTTCGGTATATATGCGGTGATAAGTCACATTCGATGATATATCAATCGAAGAAAAGATGACGGGAAAGTGACAATTGGAATATATTCATGCATGGACATCCGTGACACTTATTTTCCACAATGGTCAATCAATGACGATGGCGTCCGTAAATCTTTCAAAGAGATGACTTCAAAATTACTATCAAGTAACCGTAAAATTGTCTTTTTAAGCAGCAATCCTCTATCAAGAAAACCATGATAGGATATGGCAGCTCTCGTTTCAACTTGAAAAAGCACATGACTTTTTTGTGCACTCTATATGAAGGCTCTTAATGAATGTCACTAAATAGAAATAGAAATTTAACAATAAAAACGGACATTATCTCTTTTGTCGTAAACATTTAGATCTCAACCGAACCCCATTGTCAATATATAAACTAGGTGAATGTCAAAGAAGAAGACTTCGCTGTATCTGTTGTATCCTTTGTTTCAAATAAGTTAGGACACAGGCAAAAAACAAAGAAGCCAGAATAATAAACTGGTAGTGATAAGAAATCATCTATATAGAGAAACATTTTAAGTTTTAAGGATAATGCTAGGTTTTCCCATTCTTTTTAGAAGCTGTTGTATGCAGTCTGCCAATATGAATAAAAAATTGGTCAGCAATTAGAAAAAGAGAGACGAAAGATACCAAAGGGACATTCAAACGCATAATTATAAGTCGAAATTGAAGTGACAACGCCATGGCAAAAAAAAGAGAGACCAAAAAGACAAACAACGGTAAAGAAAACACAACATAATAGATAAAGACTGAGCAACACGAACCCCACCAAAACCGGGGGTGATCTCATGTGCTCAGAAGGGTAAGCAGATCATGCTCCACGTGTGGAGAGGAAACAAAAAGAAACAGTTACCTGATATTGTCGGTTGAAAATCACGGCCTTTAAACAGGAAAACATCGCATCAATCAAATAAAGAATCTTGATGATGTTAGTTTCAAACTTGTTTGAAGCAGATTTTTTTTAACAAAGTGTAATTATCCGTTCTTAAAACAATGTTTTTTAGTAACTATATATGAAGGCCATTTTTTGTGAATCAAAATAATCTGTTAAAACATTTAGAAAGAGGAATACTTGTGTAAAAGGAAATTTAGGCAGTTAAAATTGTTTAAACTATTGCACATGTCGAGCCCCTTAAATTATTTTTAATCTAACAGATCTTTGGAATTTGTTAGTTTTCACAGTTTGAAAGTAACTCTTTTGCCTGGAAAATATTGCTAACAAAATATTGTAATCGTTCTAAAAGAGGTTTAGTTGCGCAATTGGCAGACCCAGAAACAAAAGCGTTGTTTGTAAGGACACCTATGTAATTTTAGTATCCAGTTATTCCGTAATAGTGAGGAAAGGTTCGGTTCTTCTAAATGAACATAAAAAAAGTTCAGGATTTCGTCTTTCTTAAGTGACGTGGGAGTATATATTTGGTTTCCAAATTAGTTGTCAATACCTAATTCCTTTATCAAGCAATTTATAAACAATGTAAAAATAAAAACGTTATTTGTCGGAGTTTCCGTCCACGAGGTTATCAACACATTTGTCATGAAGGTATGGCAGGAGTTTAATATGATTTTGGTCTGATGTTATATGTTGCATGGGTTTTCATTTACCATTCATAAGAGAGGCGAAAGACACCAGAGGTACATTCAAACTCATAAGTCGAAAAAAAAAACTGACAATGACATGACAAAATACCAAAAGACATACAACAGTACACAAAACACAACATAGAAAACTAAAGACTAAGCAACACGAACCCTACCTTAAACCGAAGGTGTACTCAGGTGCTCCAGAAGGGTGAGCAGATTCTGCTCCACATGTGGCCCCGTCGTGTTTAACCTTCATTGTATGTTACCCGCGTATACTGACTCTTTACATCATTGCTTTATTTCTTTATTCATTTGATTTGGGTCTATTTTATTCATTTGTCCATAAAAACCAGTTACAAAAAAACCCCGTGAGTTTGCCCTTTAATATCACCACCAGCTGATCATGGATTACGTGTGCTTATATGAGTGGGGTGGGGTGATCGATAGATCTTCCTTTCGGCCTCCACTTTAAAGAATCAATTTACTCAAAAGACGGTGAAAAGCTAAAGAACCCCTTTCCTCAGCTTAAAATGGCATAAGAGTAACATTAACAGATCCATCGTAATAACACCAGATGCGCATTTCGATAATTATGGTCACTTCATTAATGCAAGAGGCCAATTATAGTTTGAAAATCAAAAACCTGACACAAACTTTATAGAGCTTATAAAACCCAAAAGGTAACAAACGTAAAGTCAAACACGGACATTCACGGAAACAGAGATACGCACGAGGTGGACATATTCTATGACAGCCAATTTCAATAACACCATATCCGTACTTTAATGTCAGTACCGAAGTACTGGCTATACTGCTGGTGATACCCTCGGGAAGTACAGACTACCCTCAGAATTATCGGCACCGCTGCAGTAACAACATGAACGGTACCACTGTTACTGCAATAGATGCCAATTTCAATAATATTCTGTTAAATGATGCACAAGGCTAATCTTTTTTTGAAAATGAAAAACTAAATACAAAATTAATTTTTTTTTTGGATTTCTTGGTTTACGTATCACAAATCAATTCTTGCTTTCCATAATGTTTTGTCAAACCACAATATTTTATGTTTACTGCATGCATCCCCTTTCCCAAGACAATTACATAATGTCAGATCGATCGATATTTCCCTGCTTATGGTATTTGACATAATAGATTTATCTAAAATTGGGATATATATGAACCATTAGCTTGAACCGACACATAAAGTTATAAAAACATCATATAAGTATGAATGTCGGGAATATAGGGATGATCTCAGGATCTTCATTTCTGTCTTCTTTTATGTGTTTGCATGGCCGTCATTTCTATTTTGTTTATAATATAGCAACAAGCTAAGCACTTCGTTTGCCTTGCCATTACCGACTGATAGTGTGTAATTCTATTCTGCAAGTGCATACAGCTATACATACTATATCACAATTGCAATTGCATTGTATTAACGTTCCTTTTTATCATATAACTCATTATTTTACGGAAATGTCTAATACAGTGACTATAATCATGGTAATATAGTGTATAACTATACAATAAAAAAATTGGTGATTAATTTCAAATATGGATTATGAATTGTATTGTGTCCAATAATAATAAACAAAATTTGGCATACCAGCATCTATTAGTCTTTTTACCAATTTGTCATGTCCTCTGTGACTAGCTATAAATAAAGCAATGAATGCTCGTTCTTCAATCCACGGACGTCTTTGTTTCTTGGTCATGTAATCACTCTGGGGCGTATGGTAGGTAGTGTTTGCCGTAACGCCTAGACTGAATACCTACAGAAAGAAAGTCTATCAAATCAAAAGTCGAAAAAAAACTCGCACATTTTGCTATAGCTTAGTAAAAAATTAGTTTTGTATCTTTGTTTATATACTAAATTTTGTATATATCTAAATTGTATTTTTGTTTTCTACTTATCAAAGAATAAATTTCAAGCTCAAGCTTTATCCATCCCAAACGATTTTGCCTGTAACTGAAAGAAATTATCCAAACTGAACAGAGAAAATGTTCCATTCGCTTGGTCACAATTGATTAAATAATTTCTTTTTCATAACATTAATAATTTCGGAACTACTTGGAAATATTCATTTGCATGGTTGTTCTGTATTTTAAGATGGCATGGATGACTGTAATTCATGTACCTGTTAAGTGTGAAACGGAATAAAAAACGGAACGAAACGTTAACGAAACAAAGAAAAACAAAACGAAACGAAATGAACATTTTGAAAAAAAATATATATTATAAAACAAGAGACTCACTTGTTTGATCTACAGGGAGATAAATGCAAAATAAGTTTCTTTAAATCGAAATAAAATAGTTAGACCTGATTTTGACAGTCTTTGATTATCTCTCAATAAATGTACTATATGCAGAAATTACTTATCGACTTTGTCACAGTTTGTGATTACTGCTCTTAATTTTGTTATAAATAGTAAATATATGTATATATTTGACTTAAAGATGCATCTAAGAGGGGCTTAAAATATAGTAATTAATAGTGAGTATGATAGCGAATAAAAGGATACAAGATATTCGCTTTTTATATGAAGGGATATTTCGGAATTAATTATTTGTAATCAATTCAGAAATGAGAAACTCCGCGACCTTTTTGATGCTAAAAACAATTAAAGAAAAACAAATATGATAAAAAGCAACCAATGTGAACTTTTATATTAAATAACGGTTTTGACCAAGATTTAGTTTAATCAAAGCAATGTTTTTTATTCAACATAGATAAAACTGGATTGGGCAACAGGCTAAGCATATATATGCATTAGCCCTCTCCAAGAGAGACAAGACAACACATACACAAATTTAAACATAATGACATCAAAACAAACATTTCATTATCATTAAATTGGGATACATGCATGTAAGAACAATTTACCTAAACCGGTAAAGTTTTGATGCAGGATGTTATTTAAACACCTGAAGTAGTCCTATGAGTTGTAAAAATCATTGCATCTCTCCTGGTAATCTAATTAGAATGACCACCAGTTCATGGTTAATGACAACACTAAATTTATTGGCCAATATACCATGTATTATGACACCCAATTAATGGCCACCATTTCATGGTGGACATTTATAAGAGTATGTCACAACTGTACTGACTGAATTACTTGTACATAACATTACATTAAGGGGTGAAAAGAGGGCAAATTGTAAAATCCTCCTATCTCACACATATTGTGACACTATATATAAATGTAATATATATTAATCTTAGAGTAACAATAGTATTGGCACTGAAAACACAAACACAGAAACTTAATTGTCACATTATTTATATCATAACTTCAAAGCACTGAAAAAAGTATATATATATAGCACTGATTAGGATTCTTTTTATATATATTAAAGTTGTTAGAAGAAAAGATAAAAAATAAAGCAGCAGTTTAAGCTCACCCAGCCAAAAGGGCCAGTGTGAGTGTTTGTCATCACTTGGCATCCATCATCTGTTGTCATCCTCTGTTAACTTTTACATAGATTGTGACCTCTGAAACTACTTGGCCAAACATGGCCAAGATGGTTAAAAATCAAATATAGGGGCAAAATGCTAATTTTGTCTATTATCTTGAAATGTGCTATGGATAGAGAAAATCTGAAAGGTGTTAATATGTTAATAACCTGTTATCACAGAGATATGTCTCGCTTTTTTGTAATTTTGATTATGCAAATACTGAAATTAAAATGGCAATACTTAACAAGTTAGGCTAAAATTCAAAGTCAATGAACAATGACTGAGGTACATGGCTAAACCATCTCCATGTAAATGAGATGCGCCAATGCTAATACAACTGCATACCAAATATCATTGACTTATTATAAGTTGTTCCCTTTAAACAAACCTAAACACAAACATTAACTTGTAAGCTATGTAAAAGTTTCAAAGTCAATGAACCATGAAGATGGGGTGGAGCTATATAATCTCCATGGAAACGATACTTACAAATGCCAATAAATTTGCATACCAAATATCATTAACTTAACATTAGTAGTTCATCTTAATCTGATCTTATCACAAACTAATACATGTAAACTAAGCAAAAGTTTCAAAGTCAATAGGCCATGACTGAGGGGATGGGGCCAAATATTCTCCATTGAAATGAGATGTGCTAATGCTTATACAACTGAATACCAATTAATATTGGCCTACCACCAATGGTTCCCCTTGAACTGACCTAATCACAAACTAATACATGTTAACTAAGCAAAATTTTCAAAGTCAATAGACTATGACTAAGGGGGCTGAGCCAAATAATTTCCATGGAAATGAGATGTGCCAATGCTTATACAACTGCATACCAAATATCATTGACCTACCACTAATGGTTCCTCATAAACTGACCTAATCACAAACTAATACATGTAAAATAAGCAAAAGTTTAAAAGTCAATATACCATGACTGAGGGGGCAGGGCCAAATAATCTCCATGGAAATGAGATGTGCCAATTCTATACAACTTTATACCAAATATCATTGACCTACCACTTATGGTTCCCCATAAACTGACCTAATCACAAACTAATACATGTAAAATAAGCAAAAGTTTCAAAATCAATAGACCTTGACTGAGGGGGCAGGGCCAAATAATTTCTATGGAAATGAGATGTGCCAATGCTAATACAACTGTATACCAAATACGATTGACCTACAACTTGTGGTTCACCACAAACTAGACCTAAAAACTAATACATTGTTGACGCCCCTGCCTGCCCCGGAAACAGCATACCTATGTCTCGCTTTTTGACTCTGTCAAGCGAGACAAAAATGATGAGATCTTCTTTCTTTTCTTTTACTTCAAAACTGTCAGATGACTTCTTTTAGAAGTTTTGTCCTTAAATGACAAATTTAACCATTTTTTTTTTCATTTTTGCCTTATATCACGACAATCATAATAGAGAGACAGAAGCTTTATATGGTAAACAATTATCAGCAAGACACGATCTACAATTACTGTAAACCAACTTATTTTCGCGATACTTTATTTCGTGTTTTACCCTTTCTAGTCCACTTCGCGGCTATTTAATTCCGTGATTTTCTAATTTACTTGATGTAGTTTAATAAGGAAAGATCCAAGTTTTACATATTCATGAGGATTTATATTCGTGTTATTTTTCTACTCGCGAAAGTCGCGAAAAATAAGTTGGTTTACAGTAAGTCAATAAGACTGAAATCCCTTTTAATGATGATTTTTAGGTAATTACTAAAAAGTGGCCATGCATGCATTGTTTACGATGGAGGTGAGCGACACAGGCTCTATAGATGTCGACATAAATTATTTTTTAGTTCTGTACAATGTATTTCAAAATATTTAATCCAAAAGCATTTAGTAAGAAGTTAATAGAAATTTTTATGACTTAATCATACCAAAATTATGACAGTAATTCTTAAATAATATATTATTTTATTGTAAGAATCTGTGGTTTGTTGATTTTACCTATTATCTGTGTTCTGCCTATCAAAATGTAGCATTATTATAAATGACACCAATAGCAAAAAAGTTCGCTCAAAACATCCTTTGTGAACTTGCAGAGAGGTGTGAGCTTAAATCAGGGTTCTCACTAAGAACTTTTGAAGGCGAGTCCAGGGACTCATCATTTTTAGCCATGGTGAGTCCAACAGTAAGAAGAAGATATTTTATTGCAATATAATTTATCATGTTAGTCTCCATGACCTAATAGAGCAATGAAATGACATTAAATTCAGACTACTTTTAAACTTTTGCTATAAAATGATGATATGTATGTTAAGTTTATATATACAAAATATTTTAATCTTCATGCATCTTTGGACTCACCAGTTTTGAAAATGGTGAGTCCAGACAGATTTTCATGAGTCTAGGACTCATATACTAGTTCGCCTTAGTGAGAACCCTGAGCTTTATACTTGCTCCTTTTCACTTTAACAGAAAAGGAATACTTGTGTATTAATGGCTTGATTTGAGTTTTGTATTGTGAGTGTTGGGACTTTATCTCATAAATAAATACGACACATTAAGTCTTAATTTCAATAATGATCCCTGGGGAACAGAAAGAAGAGGAAAAATTCGTAAGGGTTCCGCGGAACCCAGTGTCTCGCCTACTTTTGCTGTTAATCGCAGGCTCAACAAAAATGAGGAAAAAAATTAATAAAAATATTCCTTTCTATACCATCTTTTGATTGTAAGTAGCTTCTGTACAAGTTTGGTACAAATCCAGGATAGTTTATGAATCTAATAAATGTTTTAAAAACTTAAACTGCAGACTGTATTTAATGTTAACTGGAAGAAAAACTAAGACCATTTATAAGTAAAATACAGAAAAAATTGAACAAAATTTTAACTAAGCAAAATTTTCAAAGTCAATAGACTATGACTAAGGGGGCTGAGCCAAATAATTTCCATGGAAATGAGATGTGCCAATGCTTATACAACTGCATACCAAATATCATTGACCTACCACTAATGGTTCCTCATAAACTGACCTAATCACAAACTAATACATGTAAAATAAGCAAAAGTTTAAAAGTCAATATACCATGACTGAGGGGGCAGGGCCAAATAATCTCCATGGAAATGAGATGTGCCAATTCTATACAACTTTATACCAAATATCATTGACCTACCACTTATGGTTCCCCATAAACTGACCTAATCACAAACTAATACATGTAAAATAAGCAAAAGTTTCAAAATCAATAGACCTTGACTGAGGGGGCAGGGCCAAATAATTTCTATGGAAATGAGATGTGCCAATGCTAATACAACTGTATACCAAATACGATTGACCTACAACTTGTGGTTCACCACAAACTAGACCTAAAAACTAATACATTGTTGACGCCCCTGCCTGCCCCGGAAACAGCATACCTATGTCTCGCTTTTTGACTCTGTCAAGCGAGACAAAAATGATGAGATCTTCTTTCTTTTCTTTTACTTCAAAACTGTCAGATGACTTCTTTTAGAAGTTTTGTCCTTAAATGACAAATTTAACCATTTTTTTTTTCATTTTTGCCTTATATCACGACAATCATAATAGAGAGACAGAAGCTTTATATGGTAAACAATTATCAGCAAGACACGATCTACAATTACTGTAAACCAACTTATTTTCGCGATACTTTATTTCGTGTTTTACCCTTTCTAGTCCACTTCGCGGCTATTTAATTCCGTGATTTTCTAATTTACTTGATGTAGTTTAATAAGGAAAGATCCAAGTTTTACATATTCATGAGGATTTATATTCGTGTTATTTTTCTACTCGCGAAAGTCGCGAAAAATAAGTTGGTTTACAGTAAGTCAATAAGACTGAAATCCCTTTTAATGATGATTTTTAGGTAATTACTAAAAAGTGGCCATGCATGCATTGTTTACGATGGAGGTGAGCGACACAGGCTCTATAGATGTCGACATAAATTATTTTTTAGTTCTGTACAATGTATTTCAAAATATTTAATCCAAAAGCATTTAGTAAGAAGTTAATAGAAATTTTTATGACTTAATCATACCAAAATTATGACAGTAATTCTTAAATAATATATTATTTTATTGTAAGAATCTGTGGTTTGTTGATTTTACCTATTATCTGTGTTCTGCCTATCAAAATGTAGCATTATTATAAATGACACCAATAGCAAAAAAGTTCGCTCAAAACATCCTTTGTGAACTTGCAGAGAGGTGTGAGCTTAAATCAGGGTTCTCACTAAGAACTTTTGAAGGCGAGTCCAGGGACTCATCATTTTTAGCCATGGTGAGTCCAACAGTAAGAAGAAGATATTTTATTGCAATATAATTTATCATGTTAGTCTCCATGACCTAATAGAGCAATGAAATGACATTAAATTCAGACTACTTTTAAACTTTTGCTATAAAATGATGATATGTATGTTAAGTTTATATATACAAAATATTTTAATCTTCATGCATCTTTGGACTCACCAGTTTTGAAAATGGTGAGTCCAGACAGATTTTCATGAGTCTAGGACTCATATACTAGTTCGCCTTAGTGAGAACCCTGAGCTTTATACTTGCTCCTTTTCACTTTAACAGAAAAGGAATACTTGTGTATTAATGGCTTGATTTGAGTTTTGTATTGTGAGTGTTGGGACTTTATCTCATAAATAAATACGACACATTAAGTCTTAATTTCAATAATGATCCCTGGGGAACAGAAAGAAGAGGAAAAATTCGTAAGGGTTCCGCGGAACCCAGTGTCTCGCCTACTTTTGCTGTTAATCGCAGGCTCAACAAAAATGAGGAAAAAAATTAATAAAAATATTCCTTTCTATACCATCTTTTGATTGTAAGTAGCTTCTGTACAAGTTTGGTACAAATCCAGGATAGTTTATGAATCTAATAAATGTTTTAAAAACTTAAACTGCAGACTGTATTTAATGTTAACTGGAAGAAAAACTAAGACCATTTATAAGTAAAATACAGAAAAAATTGAACAAAATTTTAACTAAGCAAAATTTTCAAAGTCAATAGACTATGACTAAGGGGGCTGAGCCAAATAATTTCCATGGAAATGAGATGTGCCAATGCTTATACAACTGCATACCAAATATCATTGACCTACCACTAATGGTTCCTCATAAACTGACCTAATCACAAACTAATACATGTAAAATAAGCAAAAGTTTAAAAGTCAATATACCATGACTGAGGGGGCAGGGCCAAATAATCTCCATGGAAATGAGATGTGCCAATTCTATACAACTTTATACCAAATATCATTGACCTACCACTTATGGTTCCCCATAAACTGACCTAATCACAAACTAATACATGTAAAATAAGCAAAAGTTTCAAAATCAATAGACCTTGACTGAGGGGGCAGGGCCAAATAATTTCTATGGAAATGAGATGTGCCAATGCTAATACAACTGTATACCAAATACGATTGACCTACAACTTGTGGTTCACCACAAACTAGACCTAAAAACTAATACATTGTTGACGCCCCTGCCTGCCCCGGAAACAGCATACCTATGTCTCGCTTTTTGACTCTGTCAAGCGAGACAAAAATGATGAGATCTTCTTTCTTTTCTTTTACTTCAAAACTGTCAGATGACTTCTTTTAGAAGTTTTGTCCTTAAATGACAAATTTAACCATTTTTTTTTTCATTTTTGCCTTATATCACGACAATCATAATAGAGAGACAGAAGCTTTATATGGTAAACAATTATCAGCAAGACACGATCTACAATTACTGTAAACCAACTTATTTTCGCGATACTTTATTTCGTGTTTTACCCTTTCTAGTCCACTTCGCGGCTATTTAATTCCGTGATTTTCTAATTTACTTGATGTAGTTTAATAAGGAAAGATCCAAGTTTTACATATTCATGAGGATTTATATTCGTGTTATTTTTCTACTCGCGAAAGTCGCGAAAAATAAGTTGGTTTACAGTAAGTCAATAAGACTGAAATCCCTTTTAATGATGATTTTTAGGTAATTACTAAAAAGTGGCCATGCATGCATTGTTTACGATGGAGGTGAGCGACACAGGCTCTATAGATGTCGACATAAATTATTTTTTAGTTCTGTACAATGTATTTCAAAATATTTAATCCAAAAGCATTTAGTAAGAAGTTAATAGAAATTTTTATGACTTAATCATACCAAAATTATGACAGTAATTCTTAAATAATATATTATTTTATTGTAAGAATCTGTGGTTTGTTGATTTTACCTATTATCTGTGTTCTGCCTATCAAAATGTAGCATTATTATAAATGACACCAATAGCAAAAAAGTTCGCTCAAAACATCCTTTGTGAACTTGCAGAGAGGTGTGAGCTTAAATCAGGGTTCTCACTAAGAACTTTTGAAGGCGAGTCCAGGGACTCATCATTTTTAGCCATGGTGAGTCCAACAGTAAGAAGAAGATATTTTATTGCAATATAATTTATCATGTTAGTCTCCATGACCTAATAGAGCAATGAAATGACATTAAATTCAGACTACTTTTATACTTTTGCTATAAAATGATGATATGTATGTTAAGTTTATATATACAAAATATTTTAATCTTCATGCATCTTTGGACTCACCAGTTTTGAAAATGGTGAGTCCAGACAGATTTTCATGAGTCTAGGACTCATATACTAGTTCGCCTTAGTGAGAACCCTGAGCTTTATACTTGCTCCTTTTCACTTTAACAGAAAAGGAATACTTGTGTATTAATGGCTTGATTTGAGTTTTGTATTGTGAGTGTTGGGACTTTATCTCATAAATAAATACGACACATTAAGTCTTAATTTCAATAATGATCCCTGGGGAACAGAAAGAAGAGGAAAAATTCGTAAGGGTTCCGCGGAACCCAGTGTCTCGCCTACTTTTGCTGTTAATCGCAGGCTCAACAAAAATGAGGAAAAAAATTAATAAAAATATTCCTTTCTATACCATCTTTTGATTGTAAGTAGCTTCTGTACAAGTTTGGTACAAATCCAGGATAGTTTATGAATCTAATAAATGTTTTAAAAACTTAAACTGCAGACTGTATTTAATGTTAACTGGAAGAAAAACTAAGACCATTTATAAGTAAAATACAGAAAAAATTGAACAAAATTTTAATAAAATTTCCTTCTAGATACTAGCTTTTAATCATAAACAAGCTTCTGTCAAAGTTTGGTACAAATCCAGGATAGTTTAAGAAAGTTGCTAAAATTTTAAAAACTTTAACCACAGAGTGAATGTAATGTTAACTGGCAGAAAAACTAAGTCCATTTATAAGTAAAATACGGAAAAAATGGATTTTTTTTTTTACAAAATTTACTTCTGGATACTATCTTTTAATCATAAACAAGGTTCTTTCCAAGTTTGGTAGAAATCCAAGATAGTTTAAGAAAGTTATTAAAATTTCAAAAACTTTAACCACAGAGTGAATGTAATGTTTCTTGGCAGAAAAACTTAGTCCATTTATAAGTAAAATAAAGAAAAAATGGGAATTTTTTTTTTACAAAATTTACTTTTGAATATTATCTTATGATCATAAACAAGCTTCTGTCCAAGTTTGGTAGAAATCCAGGATAGTTTAAGAAAGTTATTAAAATTTCAAAAACTTTAACCACAGAGTGAATATTTGTGGACGCCGCCGCCGACGACGACGCCGACGGAATGTAGGATCGCTATGTCTCGCTTTTTCGACAAAAGTCGAAGGCTCGACAAAAACACATAAGGTATTCATCAAACCATTACATAGAAAACTAAGGAAACTTTTTCATTATTTTGACTAAAATTTTTGTCTTTTCCTTGAAAATGTGGACTGCTTCCATTTTTAATCAATTTGTTATAGTCAGTACTTGGAATTGTCAATCAAATCTTGTATGATATCGATGCATTTATTAAGCTAGACTTGGAAATTTAATTGCAAAAGATAACAATGGATGTTCTTGTGCTTACCCAGTCTATATCATTGGCCGTAACTGCTTCAATTAGCTCTTTCCATGTTGGCCATACTCTAAGATGGAGAGTAGCCCCTGGTACAATATCACAACTTCTTATATCCACGCTGTCTTGTAGTTCACCTTAATTGACAAAGAATGTTCATATATATAAATTATTTCTACATCAGGCAATATTCATTTGTAAATAGGGTTTGATACATTACTGGTAATTAATAAACCAATCATAGGTCTTTGAAAAATTTCTACTAGTGGAAAACATGTTATAATATATATATATATCTTTTTAAAATTAAATTCACCTCAAAATGTTTAATCACAAAATTCACTTTTTTTATTTTAAAAAACTCAATGATATATCTCAATTCCCTTGCTGAATGGACCAGTAATCCGTTAAATATAAAAACAACTATATTACTGTAGGCAACTCATTAAGGATCTTTTTTTTTTTTATCAAAAAACCTGTATTTTACAAAATCACCGTTAAAATTGTATGATACAAAACAGCAAAATTGTATTTAGTCTATATGGTACAAAAGGGTATATGGCTATGCAATTGGCCTAATTTATGGTAACGAAATGGTTTTCATCATAGATACAAAATGGAAAATGTTGGGTATAAAATTGTTAACCCTCTTGCTGCCAAGAATTTAATGTGATTACATTTCTTATGCCAGGAAATACAGCAGCTGGATGTGTGTGACGTCACATTTCCAACTATGACGTCACGCCCTGATGATGATACAGTGAAGATCCATTGAAGAACAATATTACACTATATAATCTTTGTTTTATTTGAAAGAGATGCCGTAATGAACAAGTACTTGCATAAATTGAATATATGGACATGATACATTGTATGTGACCCTCCTGCACAGCCACTGTGGACACATGTGTCCCTTATGCAGGAATCCAGGTCATTTTGCCCTGATTTAAGTTCACCCTGGGTCTGTTTACCTTAATACTTGTTCACCCTGCCTCAGTTCGCCCTGATTCTTATTTCATTTTGTTGTCTTGTTGTATAATGGTTGTATAACAGTTCTCCCATTTATTTGTATTGTAGTCCTGTCATGTAATGTTGTCATTTTAATGTTATATTTAACATTGCCATAAAAGCGGGAGGTTTGGCTAGCCACAAAACCAGGTTCAACCCACCATTTTTTTCTTAAAATGTCCTGTACCAAGTCAGGAAAATGGCCATTGTTATATTATAGTTCGTTTCTGTGTGTTACATTTTAATGTTGTGTTTCTGTTGTGTCGTAGTTCTCCTCTTATATTTAATGTGTTTCCCTCAGTTTTAGTTTGTAACCCAGATTTGTTTTTTCTCAATCGATTTATGAATTTCGATCAGCGGCATACTACTGTTGCCTTTATTTATTTGAATAGAGAATGATAAAGCGACTGATAAAATTTTAAATATTTATGTTGTAAAAAAAAATCCCCTTTCATATTTTAGTCATTCTGCACATTTTTACATGCATTGTTTTTACACATTCCAAGCTAGCTAGTTTTCTTCTGAGATTGTTTTACAGTTATCTCAGTTTACTTTAAAAAATGTTATTTTCAATATTTAACCATGCACCTAAGACAATAATAGAATTAATACAAAAAAGACATCATAATTACACCTAAGGCTAACCATCATTTTTTTAAAACAGTAACATGTATTGAAAAATGAATGTATTTTAACAATGAAGCCAATCATTGCTGGAAACTAACAATTAATTTTAAATTATTTATGCGTTTTTATCGGAAACTTTGAGATATTTATGTATTGTCTTTAATATTTACCAAATAAATATCTGTATAAGTATATAAAACTTACATACTAGAAATGTTAATATATTCTTTAACATAGATAAGGCGAAAGAACCCAGGGCGAACAGACTCTATGGACAAAAGAACCCAGGGCGAACATGTAATTAGGGCTAACGGACCTGATATCCTTCAGCAAAAAGAGTGTTAAGGTACATAATCATTGAAAATATATCAATATTACCTTCGTCCAAATAACTTATTCTCTGCAAATGAACCGGTATGCCAGTGGCAAACTCTACATATTTCTTCAAATCTGCAACCTTCATGTCTGCAGTGATATTATACAAAGGAAAAACTTCATCCGTAAACAATTTTATTCGCATATTAAACGAAGGATTGGATTTATCTTTATCCCGACCACCCATCTTGTCTCCTGCGTCCCGGCGTGTGGCCTTAGGACGCATCTTTGCCTTTAAAAGGCTTTATTTATTCGAGATTCGTAGACAACAATAGAAAGGGCTGGAGGCCGCCATGTTGTTTACTAGTGACCATGGAATTGTATGATACGCAGAAAATAATAAGAATAGAACGTCGAAAAAAAATTATAGAAAAGGGTTAAATATCATTGCTTTATTTTTTATTTACATATCAATTTGAATTTTGAATATTTAATAAATATTAACTTTTATTTAAATATAAACAGATGCGGTATGAAACTCACCAACTTCCGGTTTTCAGAAAGACTTTGGTGATCGGCAAACATCATGATTCGATCTCTCTGTAGAAAGCTGTTGACACAAAAATCAATTGTATGCATAAAAAAGTTATCTTCTAATATTATAAGAATTTTGTGACGATGCTAAATAGGGTTTTGCATTTCTGACATTTAGACGTTTTATCTTTTTTTAGTTGACCTTTCCCAGAAATTCTTATGTTAGCATTATGTAAGATGCAATTATGCAGATTCAATTGAAGAAACCTGTTTTTTTTTTATATAAAGGATCTGTCTGATAACCTTTTCAATATACACCTCCTCTCCTTCAAACCTCCCATTTCCTTCTAGACCTAGCTGCTGTTCAGAGGGCAGAAATGCATTTTTGTTTCTGATAATTTAGTGTGCAACCAACATGACCAGTCAAAAAGTTAAATAAACTCAATGATACAGGTGTAACCAGATGGCATGATTCTATTGCAAAATCACTTTGTCTCCACTGGGACCTCTGTGTTACAAGGCAGCGCTCTAACCGACTGAGCTAAAGAAGTACTTCCTTAGGCTTAGCTCAACCGCTTATGGCTGACTAAATATTTAGTATTTACTATTCAAGGGAAGCAATCCTGTCACACTTCCCCCACCTCAAGAGTCATCATACCATTATGACTCTTACAACATATAACCGGAAGCGAGTCAACTCGTACCATTGCAAACTCTTACCACGTCAACTCGTACCACTGCAAAGTTGTACCATTGCGAACTCATGTCACTGCAAACTTGACCATTAAAAATATACAATATATATGCAATGTTTTTGCAAATCTTTATAAAATGTTAATTGATTTTCCTGAATTTTTATATTGACATGATTGAAAAAATATACAATATACGAATGTTTTATGAATTGTTTTTGCAAATCTTTATAAATTTTTTTTTGAATTTCTTAATTTTATTTTAATTTTGTATCATTGCTTTACCATTCTAATTAATACATGCAATCCTTTGTTCTGCTACAGTTTTCTTCATCCAATTAGCCAAGGAACAATCAGCTACAAATTGGTCATTGTGATTTCAAATAATATACTTTTTACAGACTTATCATGCTTATGAGTTATTTAGTGAAATTTAAATATTTATTCATCATTTAACACCATTTGAATGCATTTAAATAAGTTAGTACGAGTTTGCAATGGTACAAATTTACCGTGGTACCAGTTAGCAGTGGTAGACATGGTAGAAGTTTGAAGTGGTTTGAGTTTGCTTTTATTGGTATGAGTTTGCAATGGTACAAGATTACTATAATTCCATATACCCTGGCTAAAAATCCTCTCTAACCACGGGTTTTTTTTAGTTGGGCATAAAATGTAACTGGAGAGCATGATTTTCAATACAAAATCACATTGTCTCCACCCGGACTTGAACCCAGGACCTCTGTGTTACAAGGCAGCTCCCTAACAGACTGAGCTAAAGTAGTACTTCCTTACATTGTAGCTCAACCACTTACGGCTGACTAAGTATTAACTATTCAAGGGAAGCAATCCTGTCACACAGGTAACATTCAAACTCATTGCATACAACTCCTTGTACAATGTTGTGCAAGATTGCTTCCCAAAATATTTTTTTATTTGCCCCATCCTATTCAATAATATAGAAAATAAGTAGGTCTCATTATTATTATACTAGATTGCCTAAAATAGAGACATGTGCCAATAGTATAATATTGTAATCAATGACACTATTTTATTTTTCAAAAATACATGTTCTCTTCTTCCCTGAATTTTTTTTCAGAAGTACATGTACAATGTCATGAATGTAAGTATCTTAGAAATAGGAAAAAAATAGTTAAAATGACATTATTTAACAAACTTCTTTTCTTTGAAATTTTAGACTCAAGTCAGGCAGTTTCACAGAGCCTCACCACTATGTTCAGGTCAGCTGTATGTTGTAAGTATAAAGATACTAACCGTTAATTCATTGTTATGATTGTTGTTGTATTCGTTGCTATATGCACATAAACTTGATTACTCAAACATGTCAAAGGGGAAAAACTCTCCTACATTGCCTTTTGGTAGCTTGCTTATCTTAAGCGCAGGAGGTCATGGATGTAATCCCTTGTTGGTTAAGAAATGTATCAAGTAATGGGTGTTCTTATATATAATGGCCTTTTTATATGTCCTCAAACAGTAATTTATTGCCTCGGATGCTTCAATGTCCGCTGTGTTGCCACATACCATTTCAGACATTCTCAAGCCATTAAAACAGACCTGTGACATAAAACAGGACCAAATGAAAACAGCCATTAATTAAAACTTTAACAAAACATGGATGATTCTATTTAGCATGATTTAGCCCTTCAGCTGATTTCTGCAATTGTCTGTCAGCATTATATATTTTGCTTTCTTTATTAAAAATACAAAGTGTGATTGATTTTAAAAACAGCCATTTCAACTTTTTATTACTGTGAGCTTAATCATCATTAAATGAAAACTAAATGCTGATAGAAATGATCCTGAACAAATTATTTGACATGAACTTATGAAATTGATATTTAGCTTGCAATTTTGTAATGCCTGATGTATTTACAGCATAGAGATACACCAGAAAACAATGCTGACACTCCATTTGCCTTTACACCTGAAAATATCAAGGTAAGCAATACAATAGTTAGAAGATATGAAAGACAATCAATATCATGGACAAGAGAGGGAAAGACAAACCAAAAAAATCTTCTAATCAAAATTTGTCTAACTTGAAAAAGTAATTATCGTAGTCAACATAAAGTTGACTATTCTAAGAGGGTACAAATGCATGTATAATAGTTTATAATGCAGTGCTGTGTACAAGATCGGTGATTTTTGAAGTTTAAATTGTATTGAAGAAGTTATTGGATGAGACGAAACATTTTGATTGAATAAAAAACATGTGCATTGCATTGTTTCCTAGATAAAACATTTAATGACACTGATATTAAGACATTCAGTCTGATACACAATACAACAGCAAAAGTGAGTTGTGTCCTCTACCAAATGCCAATTTGGACACAATACTTACTTTTCAGAACAAACAAAAATCAAGAGCTCATCCATCACATTCCTTATTCAATAGTTAATAACACTTTTGGAGATGTATGAATGAAATATATCATAAGAGAGTCTTATAAATCAAGGGATTGCTCAATGATAGAAATATCACCTAATAGAGGACTTTTATGAGTTGATATTTTATAATTTTTCTACCGGAAGATGGTGATGGACACTGGAAGATGCACATAATTGAAATGATCTGAAACTTTCTAGATTAACTTTGACTTGAATGAACTCTCTCTGTAAACATTCATTTTTCACCTTTGAAAAATAAAGATTATATTTCTTACCAACAATGATAAAGAAGAAAGCTTGTTTCATCAGGAAATGCAATTGTAATATCTATTGCCAAATATGTAACACACATTAGATGCTTATTAAACTGTAAGACTAACCAGAATGAACTGTTAGTGTGTATTATATTTTTCAGAGATGTGAGTTGATCATTAAGAATTACCCAATTGGTCATCAAGCTGCAGCAGTTATTCCACTGTTAGACTTGGCCCAGAGACAACATGGTCAGTATTATATATATAGAATAGAAAAAGAAAGGATATGGGGTATCCATCCATGACACAAAATCAGTACACGCACAGCTAGAAATTGTTATCATTTAACTTATTCTTCAGGAGTGCATCAAAATAGTTAATGCTTTCTTGCTTTTAACCTGAATTAAATAAAAGTCGCTAAATTTAATTTATATAGTTTAAGACTGACATTAATGTATATTCTGAGGTTTAGGTTATAAAAAACTAAAAAGAAGTTGTTTAAGGATGTTTGCTACTCTGTTTCAAAATAACATGCTTTTTAAAAGACTGTTATAAATCGAAAGTATGTGAATAAAGGAACTTAAAAAGCAGAAAAAATTGAATGGTCCCTGTGCTTGTTTTCAAGATATAAGCCATTGAAAATTTGGCGGAAAGTGATTCTCTCTATTAGTCTAGATTTTTCATACATTTAACATTGGCACCTTTTTTCTTTCAAAAATTATGAAAAAATAACAAGGATTTTATAAAATTTTCAAAAATAGCTTTTTAAAATTTATGTAATAAAACTATGCAAAGAAAAGTAGGGGTTTACGGGCACATTTTTCAATGGCCCTACATGGATAAAACCAGAGGATTCTGAATATCTGGCAAAAATTCAAAAACAAGAGGAGCAAACATCCATAAGAAACATTATTTCACATTAAATGCAGTTATAAACCTCTACACCTGTGCAGGGCTTTTCCAGAAATAATCTTATATAGAGTTTAGAAGGGATTTCAGAAATTTGATGTAATGAGATTTGTTTCTTTAAAGGTCAGTCATTGAATTCATTGAAGAAATAAAGGAATTGTCGATTAAAATTGAAGCATATTACAATATGACAAAGCATTCCTTTATCACACATTTATTACTGTGACAACCCTCAGTAATTTAGAATGAAAAAGTACAATCATTCTTAATATAAAAATAAGAAGATGTGGTATGATTGCCAATGAGACAACCCTCCACCAGAGACCAATGACATAAAAGTTAACAACTAGCTATATATCACAGTACAGCCTTCAATAATGAGCAAAACCCCAACAATACATTTACAATTAAGTCCATTTACAAATGTTATTTCATAATTTAACAAGTATATTGTTGTTTATGTATTATGTATCAGTCTCCATCTTTTTAAATCTATTTTAGGATGGCTACCCATTTCAGCTATGCATGTGGTTGGTGATATGCTAAAAATGCCAAAAATGAGAGTTTATGAAGTTGCAACATTTTACACAATGTTCAATAGGTAAGAAAGATGTATCCATACAACTGCTATATTATTTGGACTGATTTGTTGCCTTTTCTGTAATTCTTGAAAGTTCTCAAATCTAGATTTTATATCTTAAATTCATCAGAATCATCTGTTATCCAATTAATCTCACAATTTGTTTGTCTCAATTTATTTTAAAATTTCTCAAACCTTTTCTAAAAAAATCTTCTTATGTGTCAATTGATTTAGTCCACATTTGCATTTTGCACTTTTAAAAACCTTTGTAAAACATTTTTTTTCATTTCTCAAAATTTTGAATAAATTAAAGGCAAATGTTTGTTGTACAACCAAATATGTACATTTCTGTATTTAGGTGACCTTCATTTTATGTATGTTTTGTTACACTTTACATTTATGATGTACAGTTGTACTAGTAACATAAATTGTATACCATATTTTTACTTAAAATCTTATGAAACATGTTAAATTATTCAATTCTGTATCATTTTCAATTTTGTTGTTCAATAATTATCTGACTTTAATTGATATGAAATGGAAAACACATGTCACTCAATTACTCCAGGAGTAAGGAGAAATACTTATACAAGTTACTTTTTTTTGCTGGTAAATAAATAATAAAGGTAAATAATTTTACAGGTATAGTTATCTCCCTTAGTCATTCAGATCTTTTTAATATTCATAAGTAAGAAAACAATACTTTCTTGCTTTCTTGAATTACCAGGGTATTCTTTGTTCTAATGGAGTTTTTCATTGCCTGTCTTTCATATTGTTTTTACATTTTATAAAACTTTAATTTGATGGAGATTGAAAAACTCGTGAATTTTCTGTTATTTTCAAAGTGCTGATTTGGACACATTTTTAAGGCCTTGTACAGTTACTTAACATCTGCGCATAGTAGATGTTTTTGCTGAGTTCCTGAGATAAATGGTTAAAATATAATTAAAAAATAAATGGCAAACATGAAAACAAAATGTTTCAAGCATATTTTGACTTTATACCAAAACTTGAAAAATAAAAAAAAAATGTAAGCCACTATGGGGGCATTGGACACAGCATTTTTTTTCTGCGAAAAATAGGGGAAGAAGGCGGAAGCAAATATAATGTTACAAATAAGAATAAAAATTATAGGTTGTCGGGTATTAAAAAATGTTGCCCCCCTTTCCCCTTTACATGGAATAGCCCTAAGGGGAGATAATTAAAAAATTGAAAAGACAATTTAAATTTGAAAGATTAACTTATACAAATAAATACTACTTACATCTTAAAGTATATAAAAAAAACTTATTTAAGTATTACAATGTACCCATGACTGGTCAGTATACCTTTGATCAATTTTAAATTAAGCTGAACCAAATTATTAGGAATGATAGTCAGTAGATTTTAGAGTTATGGGACTTTGAATTGTGTAAAATACAGGAATATGAAACTTTTTACAGTAAAACAATCAATATTTTTTTTAAACGCTACATGATATTTTTACGAAAATTGCTTGGGAAGGACATATCATATGTTCAATTTGAAGTAGTTTACTTTCGTATTGCACTCAGATCACACCAACTGTCTCTGAGGATAATAAAACCTCACATTCATAAGGGTGCAGTTTACACCATAAACAATTTTGGTAAACCATGAAACAGGCAAATTATCAAAATTTTCTATTTGTCGAAATCTTTTTTTCATCAAATTTTCATGTTCCTAAAACCAGTTTATATCATAGTTTTTTGGAGAACTTCTGTCTATAGCAATAAATGCCTGTATTTATAGCACTGTAATTAGATATAAGAAGATGTGGTATGAGTGCCAATGAGACAACTCTCCATCCAAGTCAAGTTATAATCAGTTACACCAACAAAGCTTATAAAATGCAAACAATTAGTTTTGAAAATATGATATGTATATATAAAACTAAAACTAATAATGTCTTTAATTCAATTATAATACATGTATTACGATTTCAGGCAACCTGTTGGTAAATACTTTGTACAGATCTGCACAACCACACCATGTATGTTAGGAGGTATTGGATCAGATCTTATCTTAGAGGCAATTAAGAAGAATTTAGGTAATTTAGTGCTGATAAATTGGATAAATGCTAAAATTTGAAATTATAATATTATTTAATGATACTTTATTAGAATCTCATTCAATTAAATGTAAAAACTGCTATTCAATTTCAACATTTATAAAACCTATTGTGAAATTATTATTACTCGTTTGATACCAATTTTCATGTATTTCGTTGGGACAGGAAACCACAAATGTAAATGTTTAACGAATAACAAATGTTATACTGGAATATAAAAATAAGGAAATTTGGTATGATTGCCAATGAGACAACTATCCACCTAAGTTCAAATGAAGTGGATGTATAAGCTGACTTCAGCAAAACTACAAATATCAAATATCCACAAATATGCAAGTTTTCCTTAATCCACGAAAATTGGTACCCCCCTCCCCCCTCCTAAAAAAAAATCCTCAGTAGTTCTATGGGGTGTTATTCAAAAGAAAAAATCCCAACTGGGCAGTGTTAGTTGATATCTTCTTATATTTCTTCATACATTGTTGAAAAAATTTCAACTTTTCTTCGGGGAACTTCATGCTTCTAAATTCTTACATGAAAGCTCAAGATAACCCCTTTTTACAATTTGATTTTTTATAATGTAAAAGCAATTGACTCATCAAAAAACACTGGTTGGTTTAAAAGAAATGGAAGAACCTAAAAGTCCAGTAATATGATTCTTTCAATATCTTTAGGGTAAGTTTAGTATAACCCTATATAACTATGTTAGCTGGGTCCTCTAAAATAAGCAAAGGCCTCTTTAATAGTTCCCAAACAACACTCATGCAATGCATCAGCCGTTCTGTATGTTGCACTTTGAAAATACAATCCACAAATATGATACTGTCATTGTTGATATTTTTCCCAGGTTATTTTCAAAATTTAAATGCAGCGGTAATTTCCACATCAAAGTTGGCACTTCACATCAATACCGCTACCTTCTACAAAATGTTTTCTTTCATGCACTTTACATGACTAAGAAATATGCCAAATTATGACTTGCAAGAAAATTTCCCCATTCCTAGTAATTTAATTGACTCTTTTAATGATCAGAAATAACTACTGTCAAAGAATAAGAAAATACCAGTTCAAATATAATCATGGTTATAGACTCTCAAATCAAATTAAAAGTTCATATTTGCATTTTGCTTTGGAACAGCTGACATGCAATTGAGTTTATGGTAGGAATTTATGACAGTTGTATATTCTCAAAATTGTTCAAAAGAAACAAATTGCAAATGTTATATATGTTGTTAAATGTTGATATTGTTCATTTTGTTAAAATAAGTTTTGTTGATTATATACCTTGTATATCATTTAAAACCTACAAATAATGGAAAGCAAATATTGCCATTAGTATAAATCAATATAGTATATTTGTTTTCACTTTTTTTGCTTTGTACTAGAGCAACCCACTGACAACCTATTCAGTTATTCATATTCTAAGCTTACTAATATGTGCTTCCAATCCTAAATACTGCATACTTCACAGAGAATCAGCAAATTGCATACTATGGATACATTTATGTTTTGTTTGTTTGATTTAAGTTAGATATAAATAACTATGATTTATTAAACATGTTAAAAATTAGAATTTTACTTATTTCAGGTATTAATGTTGGAGAGACAAGTAAAGACAATATGTTTACATTGATAGAAGTAGAATGTCTAGGTGCCTGTGTTAATGCTCCCATGGTGCAAATTAATGACAATTATTATGTAAGTTTAATAAAGACTTTAGTTTAAACATATTTCATATGAAAACATGACAGTCAAAATATGATTGCAGTATTATACAAAGGGATAAGGAAACCAGATTGTCCTTATACTAATCTGTTTCCAGACCTAATTGTAATTAATTTCAAAGAATGCAACATAAGCATGATAAGTATATATTGCATGTATTGATGGGGGGATGTTAAATTTTCTTGAAAAATTAGATGAAGATTACTGTTTTATTAAACTTAAAAACAAATGTTTTAGATTATCATCCTTCATTTACAAAAAAAAATTACTTATTACTAAAGCAATAGAAGATAGTTGGACTTTTGAAAAAAAGACATGGTAATCTGTTTTATCCAAAACTTTATATTTTTAGATTAAACATGTTATTTTTGCCTTATAACTCTCACTGTACATGAATTTTCTGATACACTAGTTCAGATTACACACACTTATTATTTAACATATTTAAGCAGGATACTGTTAATTCAGATATTTCAGTATTTGGAAGTGTATAATGATATATGAATTTGAAGCAAAAATGATATTTATTACTTTGACATTTAAAAGAAAGAATGAAATGTCTTTGAGTGAAAAAATAATTTTTCTTTAGTTGAAAATGAATTTCTTTTAAACAGAATATTATTTGAAACACAAGATTTGGCTTGTTCTTAAAACAAATTTTTGAAATTGTAGCTCTGAATCCCACAGTGTGTTGAAGTAAATTTAAAATAAAAGAAAAAAGAGTCATCTTTAACTTGTTGTGTACTATATTAAAATATGTGAGCATTATATGAATTATACATCACTCAAAAGTAGATGACATATTTTTCACATGTAGGGAAATGTTTAATGAGACAGGTGCTATTCAAAATTCTAGTGAAGCAAGCATTTAGTGTTTAAGCGATAAATCTTGATATGGATATATGATTTCTGCTGTCTGTATTATGAGAGAAAGGGAAAGCAGAGGACATGTTACGTAATATAGGTCAAAGGTTACTTGTTCTTGTTATTATAGTCCATGCTTTGGTTATCATCAACATTAAGTGGTACAAAAAAGTTGAAGTGAACTGCATTACTTACCAAAATTTATTTCTTCTTGTATTCATAAGCAGATAAAATTTATATTGTATTTCTCATTTACTATGAAAATACAGAACACTGCTACTCTGTTTGCCCTGTTCCATTTATTTTAATGTGCTTTTCTATTCCGTCTTTTTAGTAGCATAACAGCCTTTTTTAAATTTAAAGAAAAACTTAACTAAACCAAAGTGACAGAAAAAAATCTGTTTGATAGTATGTACAATATGGATGAGTATTTATTTTAGTTGCATTTATATACCATAAGTGCTAGCCCAGCTTCGCTGGCATATAATACAAGCACCAGACCTGTAATTTCCAATCATGTAGGTATGCCCATTGTTTTAGCATTTAGTGCTAACACAAAATGTTCCTTATTTCTGAAAATACTATAATTATTTTTTTTATTGTTCAGTTTGTTTACAGGTCTTTGTTATATATTTTCAGGAAGATTTAACCGTAGATGATATAAATGGTATATTAAATGATCTAAAAGCTGGAAAAGTTCCAAAGGCAGGTCCAAGGTATGTCATTAGAAAATGATACACTTAGTTAGTGGGGATTTTGTCATTGCCCGTTGCCCATCTAAGGCAGATAACTCCTGTCTACTCAATTTCTAATGAATTGTACTGTGGATTCATTTATTTACGTGGATACCAATTTTAGTGGATTGAAGAAAACCTATATTTTCATGGATATTTAATTTCATTGTTTTGCCAAAATCTGTATACAAACCAAAAGAAAATGTGTAATATGTTAATATATTAAAGTGGTACCAAACACCTTGACTAAAATTAATTTGGCTCGTTTAATTTTCATAAAATTTTGATGAAATATTTACCTTGACCCTTTGACAAAATATAAAAATTTCAAAAAACTCGAACCACACACTTTATCAGAAAAAATTCATTGGATATATAGCAGTTTGACAAACACTAATTTTGATCATTAAGAAGCTTAATATTTCCTTAACAATAGAACGTGATTAAAACGTTACGCTGATTTTTCAGAGTTATCTCCCTGTAGTGTTATGTACCACCTTAAGTGCCAGTCTTTGTAAGAATCAGGCAATTTAGAAAAATTTCAAAACATGGCCAAAAAAAAAAACCCACCGATCTAACCATCCTATTTTGAAATTACCCTCATCCTGAGTTAGCAATGGTAGGTCTTTTGTTTCTGCTTGTCTGGTAATTCAGGAAATCTCTTGATAACTTTTGGTTGGAATGATAGTAAATTACAGAGTTAGCTCCCCTTAATTGTTAATTTCTAGTGCATTTCAACCAAATTATATCTTGAATTACCAGAACAGGAAAAGGAAACGAATGTTATATTCGTGCACCATTATACAATTTGAACATGGATTAATGTCAACTTGAGTGGGTTTTTGTTTGTCATGTTTTCACCACTGCCTGATTCTTAGGCAGATTGGCACTTAAATATTCAACTGTAGCCACAAAATGCAGGAAAATTAGTATTCATTGAATAATTATGAATCCACAGTATGTTCAGTTCTTATTTGGAAAGAAATGAGTTCGTAACATCTAGTTCAGTGGGTCTCCTTGTCTCTAGGTGACAGTTCATACCACATCCCCTAATTTTATATTGCGTTATTATACATGTATGAATTTAAACATAATATTATATGCAAATACCTCATATAAAGCACAATTATTTCACAAAATATTATATAAATATCGAATATGAACTTTAATATTTAGGTGACTTATAGACCTATTGGGTCGGGTGTATATGTATATATTATGTTAAATATGTTAATTGACACATTATTGTAATTACACAAGTCACTATGTATGTAAACCATATATGTAGCTCCTTAAGGGGGACCTTGGGCCAACCCTAAAAGAAAAACTAAAAATCAGCCTCTGGGCATTAGTTAGTTAGCAGACAAAAGCCATTGTTGAAATGCCAAGACGGATTTGTAGTTTATTTCAATTTCAATATTGTGAAAATACTTTTATTTCTTATGAACTCATGAAGCAAAAATCTTATAAATTGATTGTTTCATTCCTCTGTTGAAAATAACACCCAACCCCATCTTAGCTATTTACACAGGCTGGGAAAAAAGAACTTTTTAAAACTACATGTAGCAATATGAAATGGTATATTTACATCAATGTCCATGATTATAAACATTAATATGTATATTAATCTTTATATTAAAAAAACGTACACAAAATAGTATTTTAATTTTTTTCTTCAATGATCTGTTTTTGCTTGCCTTTGGCAGTAAAAGGGAAGTAACTTTATTTATATACGTCTGCTAAGATGGGGGTGAAATGAAATTCTGGTATGCAAATGAATAAATACACCGGTGTATAATTCCATAAAACACTACTTAAACAAACATAACTGATATTACTCAATATGTTCCTTAACCAATAAATAAATACTAAATTTTGTTTATGCACATGTTTTTAAGGCAATTGCTTTTTGCTTTTATGCTATAGTGAGACTGCCATATTTGTGACCTAGATTGATGTCAAACTGGATGAAATAGATTCTTCTGCTATGATAAATTTCCTATGTTTTTAAGTTTAATCTTTTTAGAACAAGTTCATTTAAAGTCAAAGGTGGACTGGCGAAGTTTCAAAACATTAATTTATAGATGTTTTTTGCATTTTTCATGTTTACCGATTGACTTAGATGAATTTATTAGAAATCTCAGTGGAAAAGTGGGTTTTTTTTCATTGCCATTTCATTCTTTAGATATTTCATCATAATATCGCAAATTATGTCAGTTTTTTTATCTAATATTGGAAATTTGAATGCACAATCCCTTATATCAGGATTTAGAAACATATCTGTTTTTCCACAATGTTTGGTAGTGAGATATGATGATCCTCAATATGGGCCTTCACACATTTTGCTGTGAACTTGTAGAACTGCATTACAAGTACACTATTTTGTTAAAGTGCTATTTGTGTGATATAAATTGTGAACTAAGCCCATTGAAATTGTAGACTATGGTATGATATTTCAAAGAAACATCTGTTGATGCCAACCATCAAGTATTTTATTTTCACTTCTGACACAGTCCTAACTTGAGCATACATCAATAAATTCTGATTTTTCAGCACAATAAGTTTAACATAATTATAATGGGCTTGAGTTTACAGTTGTTCATTTATAACATTGAAAAACATCACATTCCTTTTCCAACTATCTCCTCAAAGACAGTTTATTTTCCTTCATCTGCTAGCCTAAAAGTGAAAATACACATCTTTAAGTAAGAACCAATGAAATTGTTTTTATACTGTTCTTTTATTTTACAGAAGCGGCCAAAATAACAGATTTGCTTCAGAACCTAAAGGTGGCCTAACTTGCTTAAATACACCACCAACAGGTCCAGGATTTGGTGTTAGGAGTGATTTATAATAGACATATAATAAAATAGATTGTTGAATTTGTGTACAGTATTTTAAAAATAAAATGGTCAGCTGATAAGAACCTGTGTTTTTTTAATTAAATGTAGATAATAGTAACATTTTGGTTAAATGTCAACATTGAGGTTTGTTGATAAATCTGATAAATTCAAATGGAATTCATGCATATGTGCAGCCATTTGTCTCTGGAATAAATTAAGAATTTCTAATTGTGTTTTCCAATGGACATGTGGTTAATCAAAATGCTAATATATGTGTGGAAGGTGCAGAATCAGACTTTTTCTGTGCCAAATATTTAGAACACTTCAATCAACGTTTTTTTTCAAATTTTCAAATAGACTGTAAAAAAACTAATTTTCGCCAGCGATTTATTTTCTTTTGCGATAAGAAAGATAATGCGAATATAAATCATCGCAAACAGGTAAAACTTGGTTGATATGTTTCCCTCGGTTTAAGTTTGTAACACGGATTTGTTGTCTTTTAATCGATTTATGACTTTTGAACAATGGTATACTACTGTTGCCTTTATTGAATCTTTCCCTATTCTACATCAAGTTAATTTGAAAAACACGAAATTAAATTGCTGCGAAGTTGGCTTTAAAGGGCTAAACTCGAAATAAAGTATCCGTAAATATAAGTTGGTTTACAGTATTGTTTTTGATTTCAAAATGGAGGTCAAGTTCAATATTGACAATTTTGGCTTTTACTGTGTTGGAGTTATGGTCCTTGATTGATTGAAAAATGACGCTTTAAGGCTGATATGCCATAGTTGGAAAATGCTTGATGTGATATTTTTTCAAATTTTGATTGTTTTTTCTCAGGACAAAATAGTGGTCGATTTTGATATTGAGATGTTTCCCTTTTGCAATAAAGATTTATTGTCCTTGATTGACTGGAAAATAACACTTTATATCGAATCTGTATGATAACTTTAGAACACTAGTAATCTTTTCAAATGTTAATGTGATGTTTCTCATAACAAGATGTAGGTAATGTTTGGTGTCGACAAATGTTATTTTGCTATTAAGGAGTTATGACCTGTAATAGCTTGTTCAATAACACTTATACATGTAAATGTTCACACAATATTAAGTCCCAAACGTATTGGTTAATTTTTTTGTTAACGAGCTATGACCTTTGATAGATTGAACAATTACACTTATAAATATTCACATCATATATAGTCCCAAAATTATAGATAATTTCATTAAGAAATTTTAGAAGGGTTTCCAAATCGAGCTTGAGGGGAGGAAAAGGCATGACCACTAAACTATTTGATGTAGCAAAAGAACATTTAATGTGAAAGTTATAAAATTATGGACAAACTGAGATAAAAAAGGCAGAAAAAGAATAAAAAGGTATATGGTAGGATTGCCAATGAGGCAACTCTCCACCAGAGACCAAACAACGTTAAAAGTAACAACCATAGGTCACCTGACAGCCTTCAGCAATGTGCCAAACTCATATCGCATAGCAAGACATAACAGGCCACAAAATGACAAATAAAAAAACAATTCCATCGAGAAAGCCAACAGCCTGATTTATGCAGAACACATTACACGAAAAACAAATATAATATACAGCAACAAACAACACTTACTGAATTACAGGCTCCTGACTTTGGACAGACACATACGGAATATCCAGTCAATATGTGTTTACCTGACAATTAACATGATTTAGTCATGCAAATCACTATTTTAACCTCTTGTTCCCATTGCACAGTCATGACTGAAATAGCTTTAATAAAGATTTTGAGAAAATCTACACGATAAATGTTTTTGATCCCCTATGATTAAAAGCGTGGTTCAGAGGCTAGTTGACAAACACAAAAATGCTATCTTTAGGTATATCACATGTATTTTACAAAAACAATTGAGAATTGAAATGGGGAACGAGTCAAAGAGACAACAACCCAACCAAAGCAGAAAACAGCCGACGGCCACCAATAGAGAAAACAGTTGAACATGGTGGCCTGAATGACGTTTTAATGTTTGAAGATGAGGTTTGGATAGCCTATAAACCAGGTTCAACCCACCATTTTGTCTTAAAACGTCCTGTACCAAGTCAGGAATAGGGCAGTTGTTTTCAAGTAGTCTGTTTCTATTTATGTTGGCATTTGGTTTTGTTGAAGTTCAGTGTTTCTGTTTTCCGTAGTTTTCCTCTTATAGTTGATGTATTTCCCTCAGTTTTAGTTTGTAGCCCGGATTTGTTTTCGCTTAATCGATTTATGACTATTGAACAGCGTTATACCACATGTACCACTATTGCCTTCATAAATCTTTCACAGCCCTGCACACTTTAAAGTGTGTCATTAAATTTTTTAATCGAACAGTATGACAAGATGATGGACGACCCAAGACGCCCAAGCAAGCATGTGTTGACAGTCAATTTAAAAGAATTGTTCCTAAGTAATTTTTATTGCTTTGAGTTAAATCAGACTGTTTTGATATGAATTTTAATACTAGTTAATAAGGTGCGTTTTTGTTAAAGCTTATTTGATACAATTTGAGCTACAGTGCTACCATAAACATAAAAAATAGAAGCTAATCTGGTCACTACAGCTATTGTAGTCATTCTTGTTTTAACACACTATCAAATATCAAAATTATTGTCTATCAAATAATTGTGTTCATTTGATGTATTAGCACGTGTATATCCCGATTAACCATCATACATTGGTCTCTAGATGTCTTTTGATTACCTAAGTTTGTTGTTGGTTTTTTGTATCATTGTCGTTTATCACCATGTCATTTATTCACACGATAATGAAAGGAATAAGGCAACGTAGATCGAGTGAATTAACTCCTTTCACCAACATATCAATATGCCTGTACATGTAATATGTTAAAATTTAGAATGAAACGGGGAAGTGCCGAAGAGACAACAACCCGAACAAAGAGCAGAAAACAGCCCAAGGCCACCAATGGGTCTTTAACACAGCGAGAAAATCCCGCATCCGGAGGCGGGCTTCAGATGGCCCCGAAACAAAAATGTGTAATAGTTTAGATAAGATGAAGGTCACATTCAACTCCGAAACATATAACTGAACCAAAATAAAAAAAAAAAACAATTGCATACAAGACCCCCAAAGCCTTGTATGCGTTTTTTTTATTATTTGGAAAGGGTTGTTGCCTACTTTGTTGTTCCTTCTCATATATGTCAACTAAGTCATTATGATTTTTAAAGTATAGAGATATATGGAAATAATTGGTTTCCTTAAGCAGCATTACACAAGTGGCGTCACATTGGACGTCGATTAGAGGGTAAAATCAATGGACCAATTCGATAACGTGACTTTACGTTGGACGTCGATTTGCGGAACGGACGTCCATAAGAAACCGTGTTTCAAGTGGCAATAATGCGGTATTACTTAAACTATATAAACATTCTCAATATTCGAATGATCCCTTTTAGTATTCTAATGTTTGACCCATCACGTTCAATAAGTTGTATAATCATCATTATAATTGTTTTTTTCTCTCCTGTGATTCAACACTATCGAGATATAATATATATTGAATGATATCATCACGATTGTCATCACTAAAACCAGTTTACTATTAAAAGCATTTTATTGACATATTCATACTATCTAACGAAAGGCAGCATATAATGTTTTTGAGAACTTTTGAAAACAATATCTAGTATAATTTAGATATGGGACCACGAATCATATCATTACTTTGTCTTTCCTTTAGAAGGAAGATAGAAACTTATTATATAATCACATTCAATTAAAAGATTAATATTTAGCATTGCATTGTTTTATGTGAAAGATTATTATTTGTTTTTTTAAATAACAATTAAATTGCGGATCAATTATGTTGCTGTTAATTTATCAATCAGTATATGCACTTAAAAGCGACGACAATTTCAATGATTGTTTCATTTACAAGTTAACGATGTTTGTTTTGTTTTGAAGCAATAAAAATCTATTGAAAGATAAATAAATTAACAGAATGGTGGTACATTTTTAGATCACAACACAAATCAACTCAACTGTGTTAAAGATGGATTTTATTAAAAGCGTACTCATTTTCCTCTATTGTACACCATTAAGATACTTGGTAATTGGTCAAACATATGATGAAATTTCTAATCTTGAGAGGCAACTGAAACAGTTTTCACCTGACCTCAATCCGAGATTAAACCAAAAGGTCCCAGTTGTTGTTTCCATAATGGCGTATATTACTGCAATACTGGATTATAATGAAGTTTCCGGGACACTACAACCAGTCGTTTCTTACGTATTGACTTGGAGGGACGAAGTCAGACGATGGAATAGCTCGGAATATGGAAATGTTACATCAATAAATTTGCCGATTACAAACACTTGGATTCCAAAAATTAGTATTATTAATATGGTTCGTCATAAAAGTCTATTTATGTATCATAATGAAATGGAAATAAGGAGATCTCTTGTCAACTATCAGGCAAACGGTTTCGCAGAGTTCCATGTTAGTGGTGCACAGGATATAACTTGCTCGTCTGATGTGAAGTATTTCCCATTTGATTCACATGCATGCTCCATTCAACTCTTTCCAGAGTACGCAAATGGCAATGTTATTCTTAAACCAGAAACGAAAACTTTCGATCTTAGGTTCGCCATATCAAATACAGAATGGAGCATTACAGCAAATTCTGTAGATGGCGAAATTGTTCCAAACGTTTTTTCAGTAGTTAGATTTAACATAACATTATCGAGGAATCCGAGTTTTCTATTCTTGAACCTAGTTCTTCCTATTGTACTCCTCAGTTTTGCAAATTTACTGGTGTTCTGTATTCCTGTTGCGTCTGGCGAACGTGGATCACTTGCGTTTACAATATTACTGACTTTTATTGTTTTTATAACTATGGTGACGGACATACTACCAGCATGCAAACCAATTTCATATTTCAATATTTTTCTTGAGGTTCAACTCTTTTGCAGCGTTTTGATTGCATTTTGCACAGTATGGAGCATATCTTTGCATCACAGATTCGCCGAAAATTATACACATGATATTTTCCCACACTTTTTACTGCAAATGAGTTGTGCGTATCGTAATTCATGTTCTAAAC